CATAGCGCAGACGATTTTGAACTAAAAGTCAATATCCTTGCACAGGAGTCCAAAACACCAGCGCGAAAACTCCTGGAGGCTTTTTGGATCAATGCCAAAAACCCTACAATGAATAGCAGGGACGAATGCCCGGAGGTCATACGCGACCTGATCCCGTACGTTCGCATCGATTTTTGATGTGGGATGGTGCAGTCGTCAACCACATGCGACTATAATCAGCTGTTCTAAACTTCCTCATTGGAAGTCACGAAAAAGCGGTGGGTTTTTCGAGAAGTTGTTGATCGTGTAGTTACCAAAGAGTCTTTCGTCTTTGTGTAAGTGTTATTGAAGCGTTTGGCATAGTAGATTGTATATCAGTATACCCTTCCAGGCTCTGAAGAAGGCGATACTACCGAAACGTCAGCTAGCGTTGTATTGTATTGTGTTTTTATGGAAGTAAATGTATGCTGTTTAAAAACCTCGCGATTGCTGAACAAGAAAACGACACACTAATTGGAGTTTTATGAAACATGGCAGAAAAGTTTTGGTGAAATTTCATCTTCAGGTTGATACACAAATAAATTCTATTCTAAACATGACTGTCAGGACGCGTAGGCTACCATTTGCAAATAGCACTAAGACCCAGTCGTCGTTCATTTTTTCGTCTGTTATCGCCTAAGTTAGTGGTATCGGTGCCATTATATCGTTCTTCCTAAACAACGTATGTAGAATATACTCTTGTGGTACCACCTTACTCTACTCCGATGTACCAACTGCCAGGTTTATCCCTGAAGCGTCTCTTAGCATTCTTATAACCTTGTAACTGTTTTTCAAATGATTCCGAAGACATTTTTCACAATGTTAGGCTATCAGTGACTAACCCTATCGCCAGTATTTTCTTGTTTTTTAATCCGGCCATATTTTCGGGAAACCGGCAAAAAGAAGATGTCGTTTTTGGAACGATTATATCTTTTCGAAAATGATACCTGTGTTTCTTGTCAGTACTGTCGGAATGTAAACTATCAGGTTTCTCCTCTTTTGTGCAGGCTGAATACTGACAAATGCCATCGTATCCGCAGCACATTTTTTGGAACGTTGGACTAAGGTTAAACAAGCATTTTTAAAAAGTTCGTCAAGGTAAATTATGTTTCTACTGCAACGAAACTGTGGAGTAGAGAGGTGAGGTGGAGCGGTAATTTACACTGCAGCTGTTTCACTTTTTTTCTAAATCAAAAACGCGCGATTATATTGAAACAGTAATTGTCATGGAACCGTCTTTGCTCAGTGAGTAAACGCCTTCTATGTGGGGACATTACGGCCACTGTTTAATAATTCTACAGCGATATTGGTGCTACGAGATGGGTTTGAGGTAACGAGACCATTGTACTAAAATTACTAACGACACAGACAAGAACGACGTGCAAGATCTAGAGATAGTATGAAAGTGAGAACTAATGACAGTTATCTATACTGTCTTCGTTTGTCAGTGAGATCGTACTAATAGTAACACTCATTACCAAGTAGAGCAAATATTGGCTAATGAAGACGCCACGTCTGTAAAGTTGGATTTTCAGCTTGATTTAACACGATAGTGTTCAAGAGTAACATTGGTCTTTTACTTATGTTCAGTGGAACGAGAACAGCCCTTCAGATATAGTGCCTACCTACTTCGGTGGTCCTCCTTCACGGGTTGTGCGGACTCCAGGACATTTTCCATTCGTTTGTATGTTTCGGAATCGTCGTCCATAGTGATAGTTTGATTTGAGCATGATGGTGGGTGCGAATATCGTGCGGCGATCTGTAAAACAACTGCAAGCACGAGCAAAGCCGATTGATTTTAGTTACGAACAGAACACGTCAGCTCATTGTGTAGGTGGGTCATCCTACGAAATCCCTGCATTCCTCTAGGTCGCTTCTTCATTAGTTTATTTCTCCATCTCTCGTCTATTTTTTCTCATTATTTGATCAATATATCTATGTTTTGCTATCAATGTGTGTTTTCCTGAGTCTCGAAGATGAGGTAGACATGGAACACCAGGGCTTCATATTCCGACTAGAAGTTGTGTGTGCCGGTTATATTTCAGAAGGCATCATTCAAGCGTTCTTTGTATGGTGTTCAGGGTTCGTGGCGTGGTTGAAGTATTAGCCGACTGTCGAGGTGAAAAGGTGAGCGTTGAGTTTCGGGTACTTTAGTTGGTCGGTGGCTTCCTTTAGGTGTTCAAGCATGGCCAGGTGGTTTCTGTAATCAGAGAACCATTAAGTTTGATCTCTAGTAATGCTTTATATCTTCGTGACGAAGTGGCCAATTAAGTGTCATTTGTAATGGGGCATTGTGGCCAATGTTACCTTTAAATAAATCATTGCGTTTGTGATGGTCTAATTTGGCACAGAAAGCACGTTTCCTACATTTCTTCTAATCAGTCGATAGGCCAGCCGAAAAAGCTCTTCTACACTTAGAGATACGCAAAGTTCTGTTCCCACGCGAATTGATTGCCTGGTAATTTGACCAGTAATTAACTGTTTTTAAAATTTTAATCGTTGTATTGAATCATAGTTGTCTTATGGAATCGGCGAGTATGAAAAGTGCAGAAATAAACTAGACGTAGGCCGCGAGACCATCCAAGTGGTTACATCAGTGTTTGCAAGAGGACTGTAATAGCATGTAGTAAATAATAACATACGTGCCATACATATCTGTATAATGATAAAGCAAGGTCTCCCCTACAGTACTGTCTCGTTTACAACCCTCAAATCTTCTAGTTATCGAAAAATATCGTTTACTAAATGAGCGATGGACCCGCGATTACCCTTTCCGATGTCTCGAGTTTCAACATCATTGTAGTTGTATTTCACACAATACCCTTCCATGAAAAAATAGTAGGCAGTAGATGAAAAGCTGGACATTGCGATGTCGTTTGCTGCGGAAAACTAGTAAGCTCGTAACAGCCCAAAATTAGGTGCCTTTTTATGTGTTGGTCACAAGAAACTATCCGTTTTCGCCACTATACTAATGGAATTCAATGCATAAGGCATTCCCCACTGATTGATCAGTGCGAACGCTTCATCCTTTATCCTTTTTATATAAACAATATAAATATATAAATGACGAACTTAGCTGTATGAGGAAAGCGCCTTGCTCAGACATTTCCATTGTGCCTACCGTGGAGATGGCCAGATTGGCATGTAACTTTCACTGCCACTTCAGAATGCCTTATCTCTCATTGAAAACCCGTGTTTCGGTTAAGCACTTTCCCTGGAGTGCTTATATAGCTGTTTTTTCTTTTTTTTTTTTTTTCTTGGATCTCCACCAGATGTGTAGTTACTAGCCAGATCGACGATTTGATTTCTTGGAAAACAATGAGTGCTATGACGACGACTTCCGCGATTAGTCGACCAGCCGTTCGAAGGTCATTTAACAAACCCAAGTTCATTTCTTTAGTTCGGTAAAACGTGATTCAATGTCTCCTTGTTTCTTGAAGAAATAGGTATTGCTTTTGTTCAAAGGCTCAGGAGAAAAGGTATAGATAGATCGGTTGCAGTGGTTCAACTACAATAAAGCAATACCTCTTTCGATTATTAAGCAAACGCGAGCTGTTTATTGAAGAAGGTGTTGATTATTTTTGCCGAAGGTTAGTGAAAAGGTGGTTTTAAGATAATATAAAGCAATCGAGGAAGTCATTTTATTCGTAGTCGTTTCTCTGAACGTCTTCACACAATATAACATTGTGTAAGTTGTCCTGTAAACAAGGATGGAGAAGGTAAGATTGAGAAACACTCAGACATCAGAAGGTGTTAAATGTAATGTACGTATGCGTGGCTTTTGGTATAGAATGTGAGGTCGCATACCTTGGTGAAACGCGAAGGATGCTTTATATGTATGGAGAACATTCTTTCTTGTTTCCTATATCTTCATGCAATTATGCCTCCGAGTATGCTTTCAAGTGAAAATCGAACGTGGACAGTTAACGACAGTGAATCTTGAGTCAAAACTACGATTATTGTACATAGGTCAAAGGCACTTGGCCTACTTTGAAGGCGTTTTTTACGAATTAAAGGAACCGATAATACGTTTCCTAATTTTACAGTCAGATTTGAGTCAACTCCTAACCTCATGTTATTTTCTATTTCCCACGATGTTTCATTTAACTCCACGAGTTGTTATAAGAAATAACCATAAAAAAAAGGAGGATGAGTGTTGCCAAAGGTGCCCCGCAATACACATAAGTTCGATCTCGCCCCTGTGCTCACTAAGGTTTCCATTTTTCCATTGTCATCAAATTAGTTTCAAACCTGTCTGAGTGGTTAGCAACACTGGCCCGATACATCGTTAGACACCACGGGATATTTTATAGGCCAGATATGGTTTCATTCACCTTTAACGTTGCGTAATTAAGTGGAATGCATGACGCCTTTGTCATTTAAGTGCTGTAGGAATTCTTGATTCATCATTGCTATAAAGATTCTAATGTCGTTGAAACGTTAATTGTAAATGGCAGTTATTAACAACCTCATGTAAGGCAAGATTTTGGTTTTTATCTGAGGAAAACAATTTGTTGCTTTAAGTGGATATTGTTGTCGTTCATATCTTAGTTCTGAAATTAATGAGTGGTACGGTTCTTCTTAAGGTCGCCGATTTAGGATTTCTTTGCCATGTTATGAAAATTATTGGTCAGCTAAGATGTATAATATTGTAGCAATTGTGAGTTCTGAAGAAATTCTAATGTGCTGAAATCTCAGCCAAATTAATGAGTTGTCTCGGTAACCTCGTGTTGGCTCCTCAAGAATGCTAAAATTTATTGTTCATTGTTGAGATTAATATGGTAGGATGTCGGTTATGCGGAATGATTAGTTTATTTGCATTGATTATGTGTTTAGGATCTTCATTTTTTTCTGAAGAGTTCCAAAATTGCTTTTAATATTGGAAATTTGAAGTTTGTTCCGACTTTCCTCGTTAGATTAGACAAAAATAAGAAAATGTCATAATGCTTTTAGTGGACGTCTCACCGCATATTTCCATAGCCATGGCACCAGTTCCATCTCCAATATCGTCGTCGACATTAACATCAACTGTTGCCACTGGACCGCTTTCGGCTCCATCCGCATTTAATTCGTCGTCGATCAACGCTCATCGTTCGCTGCAGACTATTCTGGACGCAATCCGGCATCTCGAGGGTGGTGCGCTCATTCCGCCATCATCATCGCCGCCCAGCTCTCAAGCGCCACTGGTGCGATAATGTGATTTCAGCTGTTGCACCTGGAGTTTTATTGTCACGGTTGACAATGTGGGTATGTGCTAGTGCAATTCCATCTTAGACTTGCTTTTTTGTAGAAAGTTAGATGCTAGTGAACTATGCCATGCCAGTTTTCTTCTGGTTCTTGTTACAAGAAGACCGTATTCTTGATAATTCTTGGCCCATGTTAAGCCATATTTATACGTTCCGATGAATGCTTGTTTTATTCCCACATTTTCCTGTGAAGCTCATTTTTGCTCCGGTTAATATTATACGGTCGTTCTTGTTTCCGTTATTTCATCCACGTTTCTTTTAATTATCTCTTATCTTAAATATTCGTATCATCTAAATCTTGAGATCGGAGAATATCTTTATTCTTATGCTGTACTTTATGTTTTGAGAGCAAAGTTCGTTATTTGGGTTCCAACGTCAGCAGTGCATGTCAAGACTTGAAAGCGGTTATCCTTGATTTGTGAAGCTGTAGTTATGGTATGGTAGCCTAGATGCTTCTTTCCATTACTATTTGATCCTAACTTATGACAGTGGTTGTTGTTTCCTCGGCTCACGGGCAGAAAGCATCTATTTTTCGTTCCATTTTGACTAAAGTTATTAAGCACTTTTGGACGGCATGTTTATCTAAATGCCCCCATGTTACTAGTGTTACCAGTACGTCGTGTCTGTTGCCTCGCACAACGCTTTTTAAACACCTCATGCGCCGATATTGATTTACTACTTAGGTGTAGGAGCTTAGAGTTCCCACCACAGATTCAAGAAAGAAAAATATCCCTTCCAATGTCATTGCTCCCAACGGCCTAGAACATCGTTTATATTCCGTAGTGCTGTTTTTGTTTCCGTTTTCATCGTATTTGTTCGCAAAACTTTTTTTTTTTTTAGAGATTCTATAACTTTGCTCATGAAACTGTTGACGTACATCTTGTTTCATTTGTATGATTTATGACAGAGATGCTTTCTGTTAACGCAAGTACTCACGGTGAGCGTCACGCGTTTTGGCGTCTAATGTATCAACATAGATATCTTTGTTTCGTTTTGTTTTGTTTTGTTTTTTGTTCTCTCAAAACAATTCTCTTCAATGTCTTTCGGATTATACGATGACATCTGGCCGGAAGTAATAACTCCCTATTTCACTGCCAATGCTTCTACTCTACCCTACAGTTCTTTTCCAATCCATCTTTTTTAAATTGGAACTTTCATTTTCCCTTCTGCGTTTGTAATCTGATAGTAATTTGCTGTTTCGTTGTTGAATCAATTGTTTTTTTTTTCACACAAGTCGTCAAATCGCGTTCATGCAGATGTGCTACTGCGGTCGCGATGCCGCAACTGATGATGGTGCTTCATGTGGCCTCGCTTTATGTTGAAGCACATCTGTAGCCGCAGATGTACGCATGTCTACGATTCAATCGCGTGCCTGACTTGTATCATCAATGTATTATTCCATTTCTGTTTCAGTCTAATGTTAGGCCACTTTCATAACGACTACGTAGATACAAGTTTTGAATGAATGAACTACGGATAGGATGTGAATTAATTAAATATTGATTTTGGTGGGAATGTCAGTGCCATGCTATCGTGTTAAAAGAATCCACGTAATGCTGAGTGATGCATTGTTCCAGTAATGTTTTCGATGTTGCTCTTACTAGTAATTAGCGTTCCCATTAGTTTGACTATAACCATTCTGCTAATTAAAGCTAAGTAAAGTTGTATTCTTATGTTTATGTCAAAGCAATCTTCAACAATATCCGAGTTTATTATTTCCACCTTATTGGTGAGGAAAACACTCAACACAGAAAACTCCATCGGTGAAAACACTCAAAACATTATTGCTCATAATAATCTGATGATAAACGGTAAAATTTACCTATCCAGGTAAGAGAATAAACCGGGAAAAAGGACCACTTCATGGTTTATTGAGTTATTGGATATGTATTTATAGTTCTAATTTGATATTTGCTGCTGTTCCATGAGTATATGCCTCAGACTAGAAATATGTGTTACTATTTAACAGCACCGCCGAATCAGATTTGGGTTAAGAGAGACGGAGAGCTGGCTAGAACTACTGATAAACGTACGGATGTTAACAATTTAAGTAAATAAGCCACACCTGGTGAAGGTAAGAGTATTCACGATCTCAAAGTTGCATTATCTGGCCAGAAGAAATGTCTATGGCGAAGTATTTGTCTGTCAAAAGACGGTGTTATTCAAGAACTCTTGTCTATATCGTATTTCCTCGGAGGTTGGTTAATTTATTATAAACTGCATGTTTTCTGGGAGAAATGTATTGTCCAAGAAGCAGAACTTAGAATCGTGTCGGAGTATGTATAGGTGCCGGTCGTTTCAGCCGTGAAAGTGTCTGAGTTAGTCCTGATGTCTAAAAATGGAGCTTCGTATTGTATTAAGAATAGAACCTAAAAGTAGCAAAACGTACAGAAACAAGTGGAGCATGTTAAGCTTAGTTGCTAGGTAAATGTGAGAGGCGAGTGGTGCTTAAACAATTTATGATCGCCTTTATTTCCCCAAGGATAGTGAAATTTCTCGACGTAAGTAGTTGAGAGTTGAGAAGACCAAAAAGACCGTGGTCTATAGCGTTAGAGTTACGTATGACTGTTATAAAATATTCTTTAAATTCTGAATTTGCGTAGGATTAGAATTCACTGAAAGCTGAGAACGAAGTCCTTAGGAATTCCCAGCATAATTGCTCCAGTCAGACGATATGTTGGAGAGCATTATTGTCTTAGTGGACGAAATCTCTCTTGTTCCTTTAATTTGATGTTCGCAATACAGGCGTAGACAGAAATTTAAAAAAGAGGGAGTCAGAATTTCATCTTCGTGCAATCACAAGATTGTATCTGGTCGACAAAGATCTGTAAATTCTATTGCTCCTCAACAAAGTTCATCGTGAGCGAGATACGATGTTTAGAATTCGAAGAGACCATTGTTTTCGTCGACTTCGTATTGACATCTCCGTATCCCACATAATACTCAGAGGTTGTGTGGCCAGGTTTTATCGAAAATCGTTGCAGTAATGGTGCGTTTCTCGTTTTAGTTGGTTTGTTCCCATTTGGTAAGGTTTCTCCTCAAAAAATTCCGAAAAAGGTGCAGTTCCACGTTTCCACTTGGAACCGTTAGACCAGTATTAGGAGACGTCACCGTTCTCATAGGGATCTAGTCACAAGGGGAAAAACCTCCCTCAGATCCACTAGTGCTAGCAACTGCGTGTTCTGAAGACACGGATACGTTTAGACGCCCGATCATCGGGATCGAGGGAAACACACATTGAAGACAACAGGACGGATGGGGCAAGAATAGATCACAATGCTATAAAAATATTAGATCGGAGAAAAAGATCTAGGTTCTCTGCAGGCGAGCAATTCTTGCGTCGATTATGTATTAGGGTGTTCAGAAATAAATGAGCGTTTTTAACTATATTATTTAAAATCTCATAGCTTGCTTCAAACAAAATTTTATTAGTCAAAATAAAAACGAAACAAGTTTACTTATTCCACTTGAACAAGTTTTTGGGGTTCTGGAAGCGATGAGTTCATTGAAGGCATTTTTTGCGTCATCGTGGTTGGTGAAGCACTTCTCACGCAGGGTGTTGTCAAGGTACTTGAAGAAGTGATAGTCGGTAGGCGGCAGGTTTAACGAATACGGCTTATGAGGCAAAGCTTTGTAGGCCAACTCGCTCAACTTCTGCAGCGCTGGTTCGGTAACTTGACGATGGGCGTTGTCGAGAAGGATTGCTTCATTTATGTTGACTAATCCCGGTCGTTGTTGTTAAAGTCTACGGTGTATTTCGTCGATTTGTTGGCAATACTTCTCTATCATAATTATTTCGTCCGGATTCAAAAAGCTGTGATCAATCAGCCTACCTGCAGACCACCAAACAGTCACCATAACCTTATTTTGGTGCAATTTCGGCTTTGGGAAGTGCTGCGGAGCTTGATCGCAATCGAACCATTGAGCTGAACGTCGCCGGTTGTCACACAGAGTCCATTTCTCGTCGCACTTCACAATTTGGTCAAGAAAAAGGTCGTTTTTGTTGCGCAGAACAAGAGCAGACGACATTTCAAAACGGCGATTTTTTGATCATCGTTTAATTCGTGGATAACCACTTGTCGAGTTTTTTAAAATCATTCCTATGCCTACGCCAAACTGTTCTGGCAAGCCCCGAACAGTTGTTCGCGTGTTTACCCCCACTAGTGCCTTCAATTCGTCATTGGGACGTCCGCAGCCCTTCAACACTATCTTCATCCCAAACTTTATTGATGTTTCGAGTTGTCTCTGTTGCACTACGATCGAAGTTGAACTCATAAAAGGAAATTTGACGAGAATTCGTTTTTAACTTCTATAATTTCAAAGCTCAAAACTGGTAAAAAAAAGTTAGCTTCTAGCCAGATATAAATACATAGTTGGAAGGAGCGTAAAATCAGCTTTTTGGTGATGTATAATAAGAACAGGGTGCAAAGAACACTTTATTGGTTTAAAAAAATACATTAAAATAATAAATATTTTAAAACGCTCATTTATTTCTGAACAACCTAATAGTCGCAGCTGGGAACGATTTGTGAGACCAGGATGACGAGTGATTGCTGATGGTACCGGCAGAGACAGAAAACTAGCTGAGAGAAAGACGAAGGACGCGCATGGTGTGCTGGTGAATGCGTTTCCCCTTGGAATGGGTAATAGTGTGTTCGATCCACCGCAAACATCTACGGTCCGGAGTTTTGCAAATATCTCGGCATCATTATGGTAAAATGTATATCATAATAGTAAAATATGGTACAAAATAAAATAGATGTGTGGAAGTATAGCATGGTAGTGGAGTAAAGTATAAAACACCCACTTTGGCAACATTGTCGTAAATAGCAACGGAACTTAAGGATCTTTGTCGTGCAATACCGATTGGTGTGATTGATATAGATCCTGTTGATAATGCCTGGACGGAATCTTCAGAGCGAAATCGTCGAATGATTGTCGAACGTTGTTGACGAACACCTAGGACGGTCTTGTTTAAAGGCACGTATTCAAAGAAGAAGAAGGATGGTCGATTTAAATTCATTAGAGAACTTAAAACTTGCCAGTTCCGTCGTAGCTTTCGGAGAACTCATCAGGAGATTCGCTTTTGCTCCGTATCGATGAAGTTGGATGATCGGTTGTTAATGTTGGCGGTTCTGATCGGGATGGGGATATTCTAGGTGGTGGTGAGGATGTCGACGGCACCAAATCCGAGCCAGAATATGTTTGAAACCACATATTTAGCATCAATGTAGTCTTATAATTCATTTTTCATACTTAGAATTTAAATTGCAAAGTGTCATGAGAATATGTGCCCCTGATGGCCTATTTCAGTTTTAGGGGAAGTACAATAGGCTGATCTTTTTTCAAATGATACCTTTAACGGTGGTTCAGAATGTGTAAACGTTCTGGGTGTTGTCTCAAGACGTATGTTATGCAATTCGAGGGATGGCGGACGCAGTGAATCTACTTTCATTGAGCTTCCCTGAATTTGGAGACGTTGAATAATGTACGCGTTTTAAGGGAACGCCTATTTACCTCTTCCTTATTTTCATTTGAGATAGTTGTAACTTTGCATACGCTAGCAGTGTCAGAAATCATAAAGCCATTGGACGTTGGTGGTGAACCGAAAAGCGTCAAGGTGGTTTGCGATGCAAGTGACGTGGCAAACGATGGTTGTAATGGTAGGTGCTCGAGGGATACCGTTTCCTGAAATAAGTTTGAGTATTCAGTTACAGAATACGTCTTTAAAAAGTTCTTGTCTATTCGCAAGATGTGTCAAACATTGCACTTATTCGGATGCACTATGTCGAAAATCATCGTTGTGAGAAATCCAAGTGTACACGTGTCAGTCTCTATTTCAACCACTACTAATGTCCCGATTGGTTGAAAACTTTCATACGCGGCTTAATCATGTGTAAAAATACCAAGTTGAATGGCAAGTCCCTATTGAAGTCCAAATACATATGTATATGCATATATAGAAAAAATAAATATAAATCTTCGTTTATTTATTTGCTTTTTTGTATGAGATGATTTCAGAGGGAGGGTCTCACAAGGTACTGACTGAAGTATCTTTCAGGCGTTCAGTGGAATTGACGGCTTTTTTGTGTTTCGATTTCAACATGAGGTTTTATGTTCGAAACGACAGTGTTGGCTTACCTGCCACTCTTTTAGCCTACCACTTCTCCATCCGTAATTATCAACGCATGGCTGACATGCGGAACGGATTGTTGGGCCTCTCGATGTAGGGTCGATATACTGAATTTTATAAGAATAATAACGCTCGTACACATTTACCTACTCTCGACAACATGCCAAATACAAGCAGACAGATATGGAAAAGAAATAAAATGGTAGGCACAATATGAAATAAAACCCTCGGCGTTGAACTATCCTTGTAGGATATGCCGTGCATTCGACTTCATTAAGCTTCGTTGGAGGTGATTCAATGCATATCCGCTCTATAAAATCACTCGCGGTGGCCTACCGATGTATCGATCAGTGCTGCTATCCTCCCAGACAAGTTTGGTATCAATTCGCCGACTCCGGAGTGATGCAGGGTTTGGTGGGCCTGTGGCGTGGGATCGATCCCATGTGTTTTGCAGGGCGCCTCCAACCATTGCACTATAGGCGCTCGGTTCGCAATGTATTATAGATGCTACAAATAAAGGAGTAGAAAAGCGGCTTACCATGTAGGTATTCTCTCTTTTCGGCGAAATATTATATGATGGTGTTGACGGAGGTAAATCGACATGGTGAACGACAACCTCCTCTTGGTGCCATGATGACGAATCGAATAGCGATGAAATTCTCTGCAAATATGCTAATGTTACAACATATGCCGAATCTAACAGAAATTATGATACACCTACTGATCCCTTTTTTTAGAACTCTCTGATATCAAGAAGAGGTATTAAGAAGATATTAAGAACTAAGAGTAAACCAGTACGAGGATCCACCATTGTCTCGGTATAAAACTAGTCGCGAGGTGGCAGATCTCTCTTCTACAAGGGCGGCGAATGCTTTGGTGGTGAGCACCTGGGGCAGACTTTGGCCTGGTTGACCTCAGGAGTCCAGGAAACCACATTGGCTAAACCAGAAGAACTCCGAAAAATGGAGGTCATGCTGAGGCCCACACAGCCAGTGAGGATGGGCCATCCAGCTATTCAAGTAAACAATGGTAAATTAAGACAAAATTCATTAGTATAATCAGGGATAGGCACTTGTTTTTTTGAGTTGATTTTGAGCCATCGTTTATAAACTATCCATTCAGACGACTGCAGAATTTTTACCCCTCTTGTGCAGTATCAAAATCTTATAACTGTTTTCAAACTAACAGATGGTATTTATGAAAATGATTAGGTAAATGAGTAGGTGAAAGACATATAAGGAGGTCTAGGCTGTGCATCCCCAGAGACTGCGGCGATCCCTGAGTCCACCTGAACCTTAGACTCTACATAGTTGTTTTTAGTTCATGTTCCACACATCTCTCACATGCACCCCAAATTAGTTGATTTGAGAGAGACCACTCAAAGATGGTACGTGAAAGGAAAAGTGTTTTTCTTTCATTAAAAAGATGAAGTACAAAGCGTTCCGCGCTGCTCAGTTGCTGAGGAAGACACAATGAATTCAACTTCATCAAGCTTCGGTGGAGGTAAATGAATGCATGTACACTGACTGGCGGTGGCCTACGGATGTATGAAGTCAGTGTTTTTATCGCTCACACAGGTACCAATTTGCCAACCCCACAGGGAAGAACACCGCTAATCTTTTCATTGTGATGCAACATTACTGATCTCTAACTTACCATACCACTTTGTCTCATTTTCACAATGGCGACAACAGCACCAACCAGCGCAGCCGTCAATGGCGTGAACATCAACGTCCATGCAAAGAATTCACTTGTTAACGGCACATGACGATCGAACAGCATCGGTCTTTTGTAACTGGCAGCATGTGTGAACACAAGAATCTGAGTTATTATGCGAGCTATGTATGTCGATTGAGGTCGAACTTTCCCTATTTCTCCTCTTTTTCTTAAATTCCTACTTCTTTCTTTACATGCAGAAGCAAATCATAATGAAAGAGAACTTCTCATTGTAGATTACTAGGTTTGAAAACGCAATGCTGCATTCTGCAATGATCAGTGGTAAGTGATCAGTGAAGAATACACATTTAGAGGACCAACCTAACATATATGTAAAACTTGACTATGTAAACTATAAATTTTTGTCAAGTGTTGTTAAGCGTGTTAAGAAATGAGCAAAAAGAGAAATAAGGAAGTGATGTCTACGTTGTCTTCGTTATCATCTTATTCGCAGTGTCAGTTTAATGTCCGAAAACATCGCACTCACCGTGAGAAAGCACGGGCAGATAAGTACCCATGAAATTCGTATAAATGCACCGCATGGTCCAAATAGTTCGAGAAGTTTCTCTTGAACTCGAAGGTGCACCCACTTACTACCATTTGCCATTGGAATTCGTAGCATCGATGAGACGTCCTTGAGAAATCTATCGACACCTGCAAAATGAAGTCCGTGATTCTTTTTTCAATTTCACCTATTCCCTTAACTATGACTCAAGTTGTACTATACTGAAATGCCGTCATACCGTAAACATATGTGAACGCAGTCAACACAAGAAATAATAGAATGAACGTTGGTACACTGGAAATGAGAGAGTTCATGGAATGAAATACGAAAAATCCAGCCTGAAAAGAATATTGGCATTGAAAGGCATTTTCTGGAAAACGGGACATATTTTTGAGGCGGTCTAAAGGTTGCTTCTAAAGTGAAGGATGTGAACGTTGACCTTGAAATAAAACATGGGAAATAAATCTCAGATCGTAACGATGTCAATGTCAATGATGGTAGTCCTCTTCGTACTCCACTCCTGAGACGAACTCATCCTGATTTTCTAATAAAATTCATAACAGCCGTAGTAATCCAAATAGGTCCCTGTTTCCAAGTTCTTTTTATGTAAACGCAACATGGTTTGTGGTCTGTTTACTGGAAACTCCATAACACTACACTCACACTGTTGCATATGGGAATTTCTAGAAAAAGTCCTAGACAACAGATAACGGCTATCACACGTGAATTCAGTCGGCGATCTTTCGAACCAAGCACATTCATTACTGATGAAGCGAACATCTCTACCCTAGAATTAAGTTGGTGACCATACATAATTTATCTGAAACACAATTTTTGTGTTGATAAGCTGGTACGAAGTTATCACAATATTATAAAGTCCTTTTGCGCTTTCGGCCTTTTCAAAACCGTAATTTCACGAAGACCTGCGTCGCAGGAATGAATGATCGTGGACGATCGACTTGAACAGTTGCGGCTTTGAAGGAAACGAAGGCTCCGAAATGTATGCAGCAGTAAAAAATCCTTGTAACAGTTATCACATTGTTTTACCTAGTCAATGAAAAGGATAAAAGACAGAGCTCTCCGCGTTGATCAACCCCTGAGGGATGCGCTATTCATCCGACTTCATTAAGCATCGTTGGAGGTGATTGGATGCATATCTGTCCATTACAATGACTCGAAGTGGTCACCCGATGTATCGACCCAGTACTGCTATCCTCCCAGACAAGTCTGATAATAATTTGCTGACCCCGGAGGGATGAAGGGCTTGGTGGGCCATGGGAGAGCGGCTCCGACCACTGCGACACAAGCGCCCTTAGCTTGTCAATACAATAAGATACCGACTGCTCATCTCGAAGTTAGACAAAGGTCTGTTTTTAAAAACGAAACCTAAAAATGGACTACCAAATAAATTCAGCGTCTATCGCAGAGAACACGACGGTGGCGAATAATATGCTCATCCATAACGGACCCCATCGCATTAGTGATGTTGTGCTGGGAATTACAGTAAAAATCATATAGAACGGATCGTGATCTGAAGTTGTTACTAGTTTTAAATTTGCTTCGTTTGTGGAACATTTTTTTAAAATAAAAAGACTGACTGGTAATAGAAGAAATATCTTTTCCAGACGAGATCGACAACAGACCCAGAAACGAGAATAACACCATACTGGCCAGAACAGAGGTAAAAGCATTTCTAGAATGTTATGCCTTGTGGTAACCGTTTAAAAGAATTTTTTCCTCTCACAACCTTCACTCTGCATAACAGTTTGTGTCGACGTGAGTTGATTCCCACTTACACGGTGCCAAATAAAGACCAATTCCAACTTTATAGCAACGTATTTCGGCTCAAAATGAACTTGAGCAATTGAAATCGAAACCACTAAGATCTGCGAATCCTCGATAATAATTAGATCTGCTGCGTTACTATGATAAAATTCTGGTTTCTGGAGTCCATTTTATGAACTTTTTGTCGATGCTGGTACTTCGAAAATGAGATTGATTGAGAAAGGGCCATTTGGCCCATTAGATCATGATCATGTTCCCAAATGAGTGTTAATGGACGCCGGGACTTCTAAATCTAAATTAAATAAATTCGAATTCTAAAAAATCTAAATTTCGTCATTTCCTTTGAAAATTTTAATTCCGAACGACTTTCAAAATTAACAAAGTCTCTTCTCCAAGCCGATCACGTTTTCATCTCCTCAACCATTCCAGTTATAGAAAAATTAACAGCAGTTTGAGAAGGAGGAGCTTCGGAGTCTAGTTCTCAACGATCATAAGTTGGCAACTTTTCAATCTAAAGTGATCTGAAGATTTGACACATATTCGTTACGGAGCTTCGTGTGTGAAATTCATTTTTACAAGAAATTAAATTTAACTTTGAGTACATACATGATGGCAAGAAGAGCAGCATCACGGTAGACGTTATTCCGATATTTACTATATGATGCTATCGATATTATGGCACCAGCACCCACGCCGACTTCAAACAGCACTTGTTCTGCGGCAGCTGACCAAATCTACAAGCAATTTATTAGTGTGGAAGATACCATAAATAGGAATGAGTTTTGTATTCGAAAATAACCTTTAGCGACAATACACTGTTAGACACTGAAGAGAACAAAAACGACAATCCTATGTTGGCTCCTGGTAAAGACAGGCCTCGAATAAGAAGGATGAAGAGCTGAAAGGAAATTAATGATACGGAAGCTAGTTGAACCTTCCGATGTTCCAAATATTCGCTACAAAATAGGTTACAGACGGAAGACAACTGTCTGAGTTTTTCATTATCTATCGAGTGACTCTCAGTAGCTTGGAAGAAACTACATGATGGACTTAGCAACTCTCGCCGAGAAAAACGCTCAAGCGCAGTTACCTCAGTTCCTCAGCAACCCTGCAGTTGGAAACAATTGATCTCCTAGAATTGGCAAGCCTACCATTACACTCATTGCTATTGGACAATTAATCGGTATGGAGCAAATAATTCAGTGAAAAACATTAACACTTAGACATACTCACACAGACATACTTAGTGGAGACCTCATAGAAAGCGGCTCTGAAGAAGGCGAAATTCGCCGAAACGTCAGCTCATTCGTGAACAAAGAACAATAACACCTCGCGTTTGCTCAAAAAAATACGAACAAAATCACTTGATCAATGCCGAGGTTAATAGAAAGTCGGTCGTGGCATTAACACTTAGAGTTTTCAAGTGAGTAGGCCTTCACTCGTACATGGAGCCAAAGGGGCAACTGAGGCTGCATGAGTTGATCTTTTTTACGGTTCCCAGGATCGACTTTCTCTTAACCTCGGCATTGGAATATGAATGTGTCGTTTTCTTATTCAGCAATCGCGAGGTTTTTAAACAGCATATATTTACTTTCATAAAAAACACAATAAATACAATAAAAAATAAATACAACACAACAAATAAAAAAAACAAAAAACGACATTGAGTCGTCAACCACATGCGACTATAATCAGCTGTTCTAAACTTCCTCATTGGAAGTCACGAAAAGGCGGCTCTGAAGAAGGCGATACTGCCGAAACGTCAGCTAGCGTTGTATTGTATTGTTTTTTACGGTTGTTCATTTTCCCGTAAAGAGGTTTCGCCATGATCTGTCGCTTTTAGTGAAGTAGTTTAAAGCAAAAGTATTGGCTGCACTGGATGCATCCAGATTTCACTTGTTTGGAAACTATACCAAATCTGATTTTTCGTACTCTTTAGCAGGTAAAGTAACGAATTCGTTTTTTGAAATCCCATTGAAAGCATGGCTGAGTGAGTGTGCAGCAGTAGATCCTCTCTCTTTCAGAACCAAATATAAGTAGGCCCATATTCCTAAGTAATTCACTGAGATGTCCCAGAAATTTTCGCAGTCCCATTGCCCACCAAACACGTCTGGGTAGTTAATAAGTATTTTTAGAAAGCTCGGATAAAGCTCCCGGAGTTGACCAATTCCTGAAGGATGTGCCATGCTCAACTTAATGAAGCAACGTTAGAGGTTGAATGCATATCTGGCCTACAAGATCGCTTGCGGTAACCTACCGATGTATCAAATCAGTGCTGCTATCCTCCCAGACAAGTCTGGTACCTCTGGTACCAATTTCTCGACCCCAGAAGGAAGGAAGCCGTGGTGAGCCTGGGGTGCAAAAGGGAACCCGTGTGTATTTCAGGACACCGCTAACCACTACGCTACACGAGCCCAATAATTATTTTTATTAAAACTTTTGATTTTTCTCTCTTTTTTACTTACAATGATGAGTGGCTTAATTACTCACTCACTCCAAGAGCTGACCCACCACTTCAGCCTTTCTCGTGGTGTTCCCGCGTGCCCAAAAAAAAATTTTATTCGTATAAAATCGAGTAATTGAAATAGAAATCATTAGAACCTACAGACATCTTCGAATAGAAGATAGAACTCTGCTTTCATATTCTATTGAGATAAAGTTTTGAATTTTTAGAGCTCACAGAACACAATTTTTCCGTCGAAGTTTGTAATTCGAACACTGAGATGAATGAACAAGCCAAGTTTCGTCCACTGTTTTTTTCCCCTTTTGTTTATTCTTGTTTGTTCCCTCTGAGCAGCTTTTAAGGCTTCAAAACGTTGAAGATAACCAAGGATTTTCTGATTTGAATTTTTAAAAAAAATCTCAGACCAAAGTAGGGTCTTGAAAAGTTATACATATTTTGAAAACTATAGAACAAAAGCTGTTTTATAACTCTGTCAAGTTCTAAACTCCTCAAATATGTTAGTTATTGAAAAGGCAACATCATTCTAGCAATTGAAAATGATATACGAATCAATAGCGTAGAAAGTTTAGCTTCAAAAGAGATTACTGTATTCTCAATCGTCTCTTTGTATACCACCACTTTAGGTTTTAAATTATTGATAGAGAGAAAGCTTCCAAGTTTGTTGACTCAATTTAATTTCACCGACAATTTACTTTTGTTCCTATAGTAGAAAGATAAATTGTACATCGGTTCCAACCATCTATCATTTCAATAGACACTGTCCAGTTTGCTCAAGAGGCACTTCCACACCGATAACTAATAGAAGAATATCTTGGTTGGTGGCAGACTGCGAATAGAACCCATTTGAATTGGCACATTTAAGAAATAGAGAAAGGACACCACAAATAGTTCAACTAGCAAACGCTCAGGAGAGTAGAATTGAAAGCCCGGAAAAATCAAAGGAGTACACTACGACTGGTTGTGTAAACAGTAAATTTTATAGTAACTCCCATGTCCGACTTTCTATTAACCTGGGCATTGATTGAATAATTCTTCCTAGTTCTGTTCAGCAAACACGAGGTGTTATTTTATTTCTTTATTAACGTACAAGCTGATGTTTCGGCGGAATTCGCCTTCCTCAGAGATTGGAAGGGTTAGGTTGACTACAATCTACACCGCCAGACACCTACATAACCAAACAGAGAAAATGCTGAACCAAGATTTCAATCACATTGAACAAAGCTTTGCACACTCACTGCTTTCTATGCGGCTTCCACTGAGTATGTCACGTGGAGACCAACCGCACAGTGTTCACACGGAATCGTAGTGTGTCCATCTCATCAAAATAACAGGCTTATATACTGCTCAATATCACGCGTAATAATGAGGTATTCCTCCCTGCGGTTCATTTTCGGATTCTTGGAATTAGCCCAGAATGCCGCGAGAGTTTTGCGCGCTTGTGTTCTCGATTCCTGCGCGAGGATCGTAACCCCTACTTCAAAACTCTTCTCCATTATGTCTCTGCATCCTATGCGCGCCTAGTGGAGTACTTGGCTCACGTTTACCGACTAGGTGTTCTTTTATACGGACGCAAAGTGGTCTACCCGTTTCGCCAACGTATTCGTCCCCGCACGCTTTACAAGAGATCAGATAGACTGTACCCGAACTCATGCAGTCACCGTCTCTTCCATGGGAGCAAATTATGCAACTTTGCGTTGCACATAGACGGTCGTATAGGCGGTTACGAACTAGCTGGCGTCTTAGATTACTCGGTGGCATTTCAATTATCGCTACCGAATTCTCTAGACCGGCCCTTCTTAAACAGCGTTTTATAGCTGCACTTACTTCATTTGAAATGAAGAGTAGTATAAACGAGACCTTATTGTCGCTAGAGTTATCGTTGGGTTACCTTTGGTTTCCTCTACACCTATCTCGAGCGACAGTTTCGTAGCCATTAAAAATGGCTATTTGCTGCGATGATTTATCGCAGAGAACACGACGGTGGCGAATAATATGCTCATCCATAACGGACCCCATCGCATTAGTGATGTTGTGCTGGGAATTACAGTAAAAATCATATAGAACGGATCGTGATCTGAAGTTGTTACTAGTTCTAAATTTGCTTCGTTTGTAGAACATTTTTTTAAAATAAAAAGACTGACTGGTAATAGAAGAAATATCTTTTCCAGACGAGATCGACAACAGACCCAGAAACGAGAATAACACCATACTGGCCAGAACAGAGGTAAAAGCATTTCTAGAATGTTATGCCTTGTGGTAACCGTTTAAAAGAATTTTTTCCTCTCACAACCTTCACTCTGCATAACAGTTTGTGTCGACGTGAGTTGATTCCCAGTTATACGGTGCCAAGAGATACTGCTCCAACCTCACTGAAATACAAAAACGTGGTATGCGGAGGTACGAGAGCTGATAAGGTCGAAAAACATAAGACCATCGGTTAGAGATCAAGGTGGAGAGTTCGTTGTAATTCTCCATCAGTTAGATGTTGAGATAACGGAAAAGCACCTTGAAGATGCTTCCCTTTATCGTCCGTCGTCCGAGAAGGAATTTAAAAGTCAATGCCGAAGGTTAAACAACGAATGGGTTCAAGTGACAAGAGCGGCCGGGTTAAAACCATCAGTTATTTCTCATCTCAAAATTGACTTACCAACATGTCCCGTCCTGTACTTATCAAAACCCATAAGTTAGTATCCAGCAATGATCTCGTGTCTACCGTTCCATCGTTATTTAAGGTTAGACCTATCATTAGCTGCGTAGACGGGCCAACGGATAGGATAACGTGGTTAATAACCCTAATACTTACCCAGTTGTTGAAGACATTCCAACCCATTTAACGAACACCCAAATGTTCCTGGATCGTCTACGTAACGCGCGACCCAACAGCGCGTACGTGGTGGATTCAGCAGTTGATGACACTCTTAAAGGAGTGCCTAAATTGCTCAATCTTCAGAAGGTCCGGGAGGTATTACGCACATATGAGAGGGCTGACAATGGGACAACGACTGGCACCAAGCCTTGCCATTGGATTCATGTCTAAGGTGGAAGCGCCAGTAATCGACCTCGGTCCGTCACTCTACTGTAGATATATAGATGACTGCTTGGTCATTTGGTCAACACAAGAAGAAATGGACAGATGTTTCGAGTTGTTGAACGAAGAGTCAGAGTATATTAAATTCACCCGAGAGAAACCAAAAGAAGACTGGCTTCCATTTCTGAACATGCAAATTAACCTATCAGAAAACGGCTACATTACGAAATGGTATCGAAACCCAAGTAGTAAAAACATCCTAGTTCATTACATCTCCTCTCATCCCTCTCACACGAAAAGGGCGCTTGTGAGAAACATGCATCGAACAGCTACCAGCGTGTGCACAGGAAAGCAGCAGAGAGAAGACCCTCGGAACTTGGCGCAGCAAATAGCCATTTTTAATGGCTACGAAACTGTAGCATGAAATAGGTGTAGAGGAAACCAAAGATACCCCAACGATAACCCTAGCGACAATAAGGTCTCGTTTATACTACCGTTCATTTCAAATGAAGTAAGTGCGGCTATAAAACGCTATTTAAGAAGGGCCGGTCCAGAGAATTCTGTAACGATAATTGAAATGCCACCGAGTAATCTAAGACGCCAGCTAGTTCGTAACCGCCTATACGACGGTCTATGTGCAACGCAAAATTGCATAATTTGCCCAACTGGTAGAGACGGTGACTGCATGGCTTCGGGTACAGTCTATCTGATCTCTTGTAAAGCGTGCGGGGAAGAATACGTTGGCGAAACGGGTAGACCACTATGCGTACGTATAAAAGAGGCTCTGAAGAAGGCGAAATTCGCCGAAACGTCAGCTTAATCGTGAACAAAGAACAATAACACCTCGCGTTTGCTCAAAAATACGAACAAAATCACAGTATTTTTCATCAGAAGACGTCACAGGACTCTTTTTCTTCACAAAAAGGCAAACAGAAGAAACTTCAGCTTGCTGTGATCAGATTCAACTCATCACCTGTCTAAATAAAGTGACTATGGAAAACAGATTACTCCCGATTTCTTTGATGAAAATAGAATCTAAATGTAACCGAATAAAAGGTTAAGCTTCTTGGAGCTCTTTCCCTATTAGCTGACTAACTTGAAGTATGAAAATAAGATGTACACTGATACAATTAATGGAAGCGGCTAGACAGACAGCTTCGAACATTGTTTAGGAAGTTCTGCTTCTGTTAATAGCAACTGCCACGACCGACTTTCTATTAACCTCGGCATTGATCAAGTGATTTTGTTCGTATTTTTTTGAGAAAAATCAAAAAAAAAATAGTCCTTATTGTCGCTAGAGTTATCGTTGGGAAGGTTTTGAAGTAGAGGTTACGATCCTCGCGCAGGAATCGAGAACACAAGCGCGCAAAACTCTCCGAGGCATTCTGGACTAATTCCAAAATCCGAAAATTAACCGCACGCAGGAATGCCTCATTATCACGCGTGATATTGGACAGTATATAAACCTGTTGTTCTGATGGGAGGAGCACATTACGATTCCGTGTGAGTTCTGTGGGGTTGGTCTCCACGTGACATACTCAGTGGAAGCCGCATAGAAAGCGGTGAGTGTGCAAAACTTTCAATGTTTTTCTTCAATAAGCAGACACGAGGTTATTAATATAAAATTTATTAGAACACAATTGCTGACGTTTCGGCGGTTTCGCCTTCTTCGGAGCCCACTATTCTCTTCCAAAGGGATTCCTCCAAATACTAGCCAAGCTCTGAGGAAGGCGAAATCCCCCGAACAGTCAGCTTGTACGTTAAATAAAATAACACCTCGTGTTTGCTGAACAGAAGAAGAAAGAAGTAAATTTTATTGCCACTTCTATTTTTTGTTCTACCTGAGCAGTGTTCACAACTACTGATCCCAACAGTATTTAATCCATTCGTTTTCTCACATCCATTTAAGCTCTTGGAACCTTCGCCTGTCGATTCGGCTGCTGCTTGAGGATTGTCATCTCTTTTACGAATGTCGTGGGAAGGTAGTCGAATCAATTCTTCTTGGAGTCCTGGGATAAAAGTGACAAGCATTCTACCAATTTTCCGACCCCGAAGGAGCGAGAGGCTCGATGAGTAAGAGATGGAGTCGAAGCAGTACCGTGTTCGTGATTATGAACTTTTCCTATTTTCCGTATTTCAAAAAAAGTTAGCGAATAGTTCGTTATGTTTTCCTTCCATAAGGTTTACGTAGATGCTAAATCACCTCTTCATAGCTGTAAAGTTCTAGGCTATAAAGATAGTAAGTGGCACACAAAATCTGTAAGCTGTAAAATTATTGATTATAATAAAAATAAACTGCATGATAAAGCGCCAATTTTAGAGGTTTCAATCGTAATGATTGTAAACGGCGTGAATTTCAATGCCTATAGATCGTAAAGAGGGGAGCGTGTGGCGCAGTGGTCGGAGAGACCCTGCAACACACACGTCGAATCGATCCCCGCACCCGTGGCCCACCAAGCCTTCCATCACTCCGGAGTCGGCAAATTGGTATCAGACTTGTCTTGGAGGATAGCAGCACTGCCTCGATACAACGGCAGGCCACCGGGAGTCATCGTAAGAGCCAAATTTGCATTCAATCACCTCCAGGCGATGTTTAATGAAGTGGAATGCATGGTGTATCCCTCAGGGATTGATCAACGCCGAGAGCTTTTAAAGCTTTATAGATTGTAAAAAAATTTATTTGAACTCGATGTCTCTAGTACCAATGGAGTGTTATCAGAATACAAGTTCAGAGTAAAACACACTATGAGGAAACAAATCAATAATTACCTGGTCCTTTTAGGTTCAATAGTTTAGGTAACACCGGTTACACACCTATACTACTGAAGGATTCGGCATATCATCGCAGAAAGAAAAGCCCGGAACTGTCGAAATTAAGTATAGAAATATAGCATAGATTAAACTTTCCTCAACGATAACTGTTTATTAGTTAGGAACTCAATCAGTAACATTCTGTCACCTGTTTGCATTGATTGCATGGAAAAGGATTTCAGATGCCGACGCCCAACAAAACGTGTTGTTCTGGATAAGTTATCGATTGAATACGGCAATTACTTCAAAAAACCATTGTAAATCAAAATGAACGACCAGAATAAAACGAGCTGATATGAATTTACGCCATTTCAACTGCCCTCCACCTTCGCATGAGTGGAAATTCACTCATATTTACTTTAACAGTTAAAATCAACAGGCCAATTCCTATTTTAAACCGCATAGCACAAGTCGTCTAGTTGAGTGACGTTTCGTACATGTCCAAGCTAGGTCTAATCTACTGAGATCTAGACCAAGACAATAATAAGCCAGTGATTATAAAAACAAATGAACGCAGTCGTTGAAAATAAACCCTACTTATGACGATCATACCAAGAAGGAAGAGCAAATGACCCGAGTTCTATGTGAAGACATAATTTGGCTACTTAGGAAACAGAATATGTCGTTACCATCAGATAAGGTATTGTAGCAGTTAAGCGGAACGCCCACGACATCCATGTTGTTCCCTTGCAAATACCAACAAATATCAATAGCCAAGCGCTGGTGAGAGTCAGTACGATATGGCGTTGAGGTAAAGTGGGAGCCAGTTGTGTGTAACTCGTAAGTGACAGTATATCGAAACTGAAAACGTGAATCTGAAGTGTTGAAGAAAACTGCAAACAAAATTTTCTAGCAGAAATCGAAATCTCTCCACACATAGCTCAGATATGGAACTCTTCATGAGTTTAACATTATAAAACTATAGCTTGTATTTGCAAAACTGCGGAACGCATCGATAGAACTAGCTGAGAGACAGGCGAAACGAAGGGCTCACATGGTGTAGTGGTGAACGCGTTACTCCCCGGAAAGGACAATAGCGCGTTCGTTCCACACCGCAGACATCTGCGGTCCGGAGTTCTGCAAATATCTCAGCAACACTGAAGTTATATTTCGCAATATACTCTGCCATTAAAAAGATTAGGCAGTAAATGAAACGGTTAAGACTATAGCTTGTATCCAGCAGAGTGTTGGCGGCCGAAACTCTCTGAAAGATTTCAAGACATGTGAAATGGGAAAGATCTATAGTAATCTGCCATGTACGGTGCAAACAAAAACAGAAGCTTTTCTTAAAATTTCGATAAAGCATTGTTTGGCTGAAGAATGAACTTTCGTTTTCGTGCACAACACATTTGCGTCTTTTTTTCTAACGTAGTAATACAAAACATAAGCACTCACTGAAAAAAGAATTCGGACGCTGTCAGTGTCACATTCCTCAATGGGCCAAAATCAATTGATGCGTCGGCAGCTGCAAACTCTGAAGTCGATATGTTCGAGTCATAAAGGCATATTTTTGTTTTAAACTCAACTCAATAAGAAAATTTTTAAGCAAATATGGGCAACTTCTTGAATGCTTCTAGCAGTGCTGTTAGAGATAAAGTGCAAAATGATGGAAATGGTATAAGAAATAAGGATACAGTATGCCGCACAGACTAATCGCTGAGTAGTTTCCAACGGATTAGCATACTGTTTGTGCATTCTCCTCATTAATTTTGCATAGAAGTCACTGAATTACAGAGACAGAATTACATAAAATCCTTCGAGGCTCTGAAGAGGACTGAGTTTCCAAAATGTCAACGATGGAAATTTAAGGATGCGTGGGAGAACAGGGTAAAACCCCAGGTCAGCTCAACAAGGATAGTTTGTAAGAATTAAATAACTTAAAAACCAATGTTGCGGCTAATTGAAAGTCGGTCTTTTGAATTGTTGCTCATTTATGTTTTAACTTTTATTTATTTCATATTCCTTTTTCATGGAAGCGTATTAATATGTGAATTACAACCAGAAGGATGGTGAGATATTACAACAGCAAAGCTCGGGACCTCAGTTTGGCATCGAGCCCTCGATTACCGTTTCAGGCGTCTCACGTGTTATCCACCACGTCAACCGTGACCCTTCCTTTGCTATTCTGTAGATCCATCTTTTTTTTTGCCTGAGAACTTGGACAAGATGAAGAATAAGGCTCTCAGCGTTGATGGATCCATGAGTTATGCGCCACGCAGTCGACTTTATTAAGCATCGTTGGTGGTGACTGAATGCATATCTGGCCTTTACAGTGACTCCCAGTGGCCTACCGATTTATCGACCTAGTGCTGTTATCCTCCCAGTCAAGTCTGCTACTAATTTGCCGACCCCGGAAGAATAGAAGGCTTGGTGGGCCACGTGTGTATTGCAGGGCACCTCCGACTAGAGCGCTAAAACGTCCTACTTGAATACCTGAGCTACCGAAAAGGGTAGCTCGAATCGCGCCTGAGGTCCCAAGCTTTGTTCATGTTTCAGCATACCTGTCGTTGCTCATTTATTTGAATAAAAATAATAAAGCTCGTATTAGCAAAGGTGAGATAGAGTTCTCTGGATCGACTTTCAATTAATCTCGGCACTGGATTATAAATGCGTCGTTTTCCTGTTCAGCAACCGCGAGGTTTTTAAACAGTATACATTTACTTCCACAAAAGAACACATAATACAACAGTAGCTGATGTTTCGGCAGCATCCCCTTCTTCATATCCTGGAGGCGTATACTGATATACAATTTACTAGGCCAAACGTTTCAATAACACTTACAAAAAGACGAACAACTCTATAATAACTACATGATCAACGGCTTCTCGAGAAGCTCACCGCTTTTTTCGTGACTTCCAATGAAGAAGAATAGAGCAGCTGATTATAGTCGTATATGGTTGATGACTGCACCACCCCACATCAGAAATTGATATGAAGATACGAGGGCCAGGTCGCGTGAGATCTCTGGGCAATCCTCCCTTATATTCATTGCAGGGTTCTCGGCATGTATCCAAAAAGCCTCGAGAAGTCTGCGCGTTAGTGTCTTAGTCTCCTGTGCGAGGATTGGGGGATAGCAGATATATAGATAATTGTTTTGTCATCTTCTCTACTCAGGAGGAGATGGACAAATGCTTTGAATTATTGAATGAGCATTTCAGAGCACATTTTATTCACCCAGGAGAAACCGAATAAAAATTGGCATCCGTTTCTCGACATTCAAATTAACTTATCAGATAGCGGTTACACAGCAAAGTGGTGCCCAAAAACCAAGTAATAATAACATCCTTGTTCATTTGCTCTCTCCTCACCCTTCATACATAAAGAGGGCGCTTGTAAGAAACATGTTTCAAACAGCGAGCTTTGTGTCCACTAACAAGTAGCTAAAGGAAGAATCGCTCAACTGGGCTCGTCATCTCCAATGGATACGAAATAGTTACCGCAATAGATAAGTTTAAAAGGAAAGCGACGCCGCAAAACCAAGCACTTGGCCAAAAGAAAGTTCCGTTTATGTTGCCCTTTATTAGAGATGAAGTAAGCGCAGCTATAAAACGATGCCTAAAAAGGGCAATCTAGAGAAATCGGTAGTGATAATTGAAATGCCACCGGTTACTCTACGCCGGCAGTTAGTTCATAACCGCCTGTATGCCCATCCACCAAATTGCGTAATTTGCCTTTGTGGCAGCAACGATGTTGTATTGTAAGGATTCGGGTACGATATACCTGATCTCTTGTAATAATTGCGGAGATGAATATATTGGCGAAACGGGCAGACCTTTATGTATCCGCATAAAAGAACACTTAAATGGCAAACGAAAGCAAGAGAAAGTACCCCATTAGGCACGCTTAAGGTACAAAAGCATAGCGGAGACGCCATACCTCAGGCTATCCAATGACCTGACACAGACACAGTTATCGCCCATGTATTACTCTGTGCGGCTGCTATCCATCAACTAAAATACTTACAATAAATAAACGGTAGGTGTTTAAATGAAGCTGTTTCTTATGCAAATAGAAATTCATTTGTTAAGTTTTATCTGCTAGGGTTATGAAAGTGTTTGGCTGAGTTGATCACATCTCAATTTGACCTTTCCAAGCTCTGAAGAAGGCGAAACCGCCGAAACGTCAGTTATTGTATCCTAATAAATCCTATAATAACAACCTCGTGTCTGCTTATTGAAAAAAAACATCGAATAGCGGAGACGATTTTGATGTAGAAAAGTCGGTATCCTCGCACAGGAGACTAAAACACCAACGCGCAAACTTCTTGAGGATTTTTGGATAAGTGCTAAGAAGCCTATGATGAACAGCAGGGAGGAATGCCTAGAGGTCACACCCGACCTGGCCTCGTATCGTCGCATCAATTTTTGATGTCGAGTGGTGCAGTCGTCAACAATATGCGACTTTGACCGGCTATTCTTTCTCAGTGGAAGGCCAGTAAAAACGTCCCGTTTTCAAGAAGCTGATGGCGATGGGATTGCCATACAGATTTTCGTCTTTCTGTATGTGTTATTGAAGCGTTTGGCGTTGTAAATTGGGTATCAATATATCCTTCCAGGCTCTGAAGAATGCTATGCTGCCGAAATGTTGGCTACTGTTCCGTTGTAGTGTAAGTTTTTGTATGGAAGTAAATGTATGCTGTATAACAGCCTCGCGATTGCTGAGCAAGAAAGCGACGTGTGATACAGTCTAAATTTACTATATGAATGAATAGTGGATTATGTTTATGCACTCGTTCATAGATAAGCTAACGCGAGTTCGATAAAGAGATTTGTTCGCCCAAATCCTGATCGATGATCTACAGGTGTTATTTGCCCATGCAGAATAACTTTTTTTAACAAACTTTTTCTTATCCATCCTCTGAGGAAGACGGAAACGTCGAAATGTTAGCAAGATAAATCTGTTTACCACCGAGTGTTAGCTTATCACTAAAAGAATACATATTGACTAGTCATGACGAGATTAAAGGAAAGTTGGTTTTTGAAATGCATGTCCACGTTCCATTACCACTCTACTTGCTCTGAATGATTAGACGATATATTATTTAATAATGATCATGAGGTCAACAGTATAGGGATAAAGCTCTAAAAGCTCTCGGCGTTAATCAATTCCTCAGGGATGCGCCATACATTCGACTTCATTAAATATCGTTGGAGGTGACTGAATGCATATCTGGCCTTCACAGTGGCTCCTAGTGGCCTACCGATGTATCGAGCCAATGCTGCTATCCTCCCAGACAAGTCTGATACCAATTTGCCGACTCCGGAGGGATGGAAGGCTTAGTGGGCCATGGGCGCGAGGATCGATTCCACGTGTGTGTCGTAGTGGCGCCTCTAACCGCAGCGCCACACGCACCCTTTGTATAGGGATAAGGTGCCAAATTGGTCAATCGTTTGGAATGCAAACGTGAACTTGAGCAGCAAAGGTTCCTTGGTATATTCGTTACCCTGTATAGTGTTGCAGCTTTCGAAAGGTTACTTACGCAATTAGTTTTGTACTTAGAATAAGTTGTTATTTTCATATATGTGGAACATATTGGCTTACGGATAAACGGTTTAATAAGTGGAGGAGACAAATTCCTTCACATGCACTATTGGCATGGAACAATCGTAAATGAACAGGGTTTAACGCTTATAGAAAAAGTGGCATAGGACATTATGCCCAGTCAGAGTTCTATGTTCTAGAGTGCGGATACCGGCGCTAAGTGCTTACGATTTGTTTCTTGGTATCAGTCATTCACGAAAGTCTCGGGATCTTTCCATGGAATCTTTTAAGTGTGGCGTTAAAGTGTTGAAGTAAACAAAAAATCGCAACTCTGTTTTCCCATGGCATTCGATCCGAGATCACCATAGAGAGCATGGAGTACCACAGATACTGCAATGACCAGGTAACAACGAAGTTGTGATATATTATTACTGGAATAGCCGCCAACACAAACGCCCATCCCAGACCTAAAATCGGGAAAAGAACTAAAATTCCGAAATATTGTAGGCTTCCTGTCTTCATTCATGCATTGTCTTTCATACACCAGAAATCAAGATAAAAAAATGCTAGGTGACAAACCACAGGTGATAGGCATGAGACGATAAAAAGCAGCATCAGGAGTTTCTCCCGCATATTGTCCGATACATAAATGGAGATGAAGCATCGGAAATCCGATCAAGATCAGGCAGACAAAGTATGGCGCGAAAAAAATACCTGAAAACAAAAAAGGCAAAAGATGCGATTTTTAAACCAGTAAAATCGTGATTTCTAAATGGCTTCGAATAATGTCCAGACGACTCGGGTGTATACTAACTGAAAAAATGTCATCGTTGTTTTCCGAATTTGGTCGACAGGAAAGATGGCGTCTGTGCACACAATGACTCCAGCAGCAGCAAGGATGTTCGACTGAGTGCAGTTATGTACAAATCACTGAGAAAAAGTGATTTTGATCAATCAAACATGATGTGATGCACTATGAGTTGAAGACAATGAGAAGCAGTGAAATTGCAAGAAATAGATAATATTGCTTCTGTGGGACGCGCATGGTGCATTAGCTAGAGGTATCGTGCAACGCTCCCATTCTTTTTAGTTCAACATCACACTGGACCAGCCAAGCAAAAACCTTCTACTCGAGAGAAATTGTTAGCGGACTTCTCTGGTGGAAAACCCTATGATCCATAAAGGGCGGTAAGTTTTTGTAGTGAAGATCTAGGGATCTATTAGGAGTATTCCAGAAGTGCAGAAAGAACCGCTATCGACCACCAATCAACCTGATTCATGAGAAAGATGAATGCCTTAGGTTGCAGTCCAATCCACAACCGAAGCTGGATACTTTTGTGAATGGTGGATACAAGACGAAAAACCAAATAGTCGTATTTTTGTTGAGCAAAAGCGAGGTGTTATTATTCCTTATTCACGAATAAACTGACGTTTCGGCGGATTTCGCCTTCCTCAGAGCCTGGAAAGGTCAAGTTGATAGCAATCCACTCGGCCAGACGCCTCCATAACCAAACAAAGAAACTCCAAACCAAGATTTCAACCACATTGAACACAGCTTTGCACACTCACCGCTTTCTATGAGGTTTCCACTAAGTATGTCACGTAGAGACCAACCGCACAGAAATCACATGGAAGCACAATGTGCCTCTCCCATCAGAATAGCAGTCTTATATACTGCCGTATATCACGCGTGATAATGAGGCATTCTTGTCTGCGGTTAATTTTCGGATTCTTGGAATTAGTCCAGAATGCCTCGAGAGTTTTGCGCGCCTGTGTTCTTGATTCGCGTGCATTCGCAGTGCGTGTTGCGTTCCTTCAATGTTCAATGTGATTGAAATCTTGGTTTAGAGTTTCTTTGTTTGGTTATGGAGGCGTCTGGTCGAGTAGATTTCTATCAACTTGACCTTTCCAGGCTCTGAGGAAGGCGAAATCCGCCGAAACGTCAGCTTATTCGTGAATAAAGAGTAATAACACCTCGCGTTTGCTCAACAAAAATACGAACAATTACTTGATCAATACCGAGGTTAATAGAAAGTCGGTCGTGAGAGTTAAAACCAATTGTAATTAATATCAGGAAATAAATTTGTCGACGAAAATTGTTTTTATAGTGAGGAATTTAGATTCAGTCATGGAAGCTGCTGTTTCATCCTCTGCATATGAAAAACGATGGATCATCGATCTTCTACAGTGAATTGCAAGGCACTGTAGTAGCAATCAAGTGCAGTTCGTACACAAAAGATGTGCGTTGATCATCAGGAGGATTTGAAGCACTAATAGAAGGTGTAGCGTCGATTTCCTTTAATTTTCATTTCATTACCATTGAAGTGAACCTCACTACTTATGAAGCAGATAAGAGTTTCGAGGTACAGAAAGTAGTAGGTTTTGTTGAAGTACTACTAGTCCAAGTAAACTATTTCTCAAACATCTCAAAAATTGCTCTTTTATTCACAGCAATGCATAGTTTGCCCAAATACCACGTAAATTGCATTAATACTGGGACCATATCACCTCACCACAACCACGTTCTCGTTAACCAACAACTAATGGGATTGCACGCCAGTGAAATCTGCCTTCGTCGGCATTGCGCCCTACACCTCCGGAAAGAATTTTGTTAGCTGAGATTGTATGATCGGCATAATATTTACTGTTCAAGATCTCAGTGAAGAAAGTCGTAATATCGGTTCCTTTCTGTGCGTTTGACACCACTTGAACTAAGTCGCTAGCAACATGTCCAACAGATGCGGATTATATACATGTCACCTTTGGTTCCCTTCATTCGACCTTTTGGCGTATGCACCATCGATCCTGACCCCAGATCGTTAAAGGAGGTCTGAATTGCAGAGTCTATCTATGTTTCCTAGAGATACGTAGTTTGGATACCCTTATCATCACCCTATAAACCGCGCATTCTATAATTCTGATCGCGATTTGACTCTGATATATGATTTCCAGATTTCGCATACGTTCTACAAAGCAAGAAGAAACGGGAAGCAGAACAGGTGAATAGGTCGAGATCGACTTAACCTCATGATAAAAGTATAATTAATTGCAGCATTTAGTAATGTTCGTTGACCGTGAACCTTCATCAGGAATAAATCTGTTTCTCCTAAGTATATTCCCAGGTCTGACCATAGGCTTCCAGACTTGCTGTCAGAGCCAAAAAGGAATTGTTGCGTTTGGGTAATGCTTTGTGCTATGTGAACAATTTCATCTGCAAAACAAAGAACAGTAGGCAACCATTAAGTACTACTCACACGTTATTCAATTAGAAATTTCACTCCTTGTCATGAAATTCTTGTTTTGGCGATTTTTATAACCTTGTATTATTACTGCTCGCTTTATGGTGGTGATAACTCTTTGTAGAATGACGAAATTTCAGCTGTAAGGCTGTGGCCAATTCTAAGGTTATAAGAAAACTGGTCTTAAGAGTGGAATCTGATGAAAAAAGTATGCTGTGGATTATCTATGACCTTAGTAAATAAAGTGAATTAGAAAAGCAAATTTGGATGAAATAAACAATGAGATAAGAGTATACACCTCCATATTCGTAGACTTTAGCCGGAAATCTTAGCATGTTTCCTATGCCAATGACGAACCCTAGACATGAGAGGAAGCAGTCGGCCTGAAGCAGATGAAGTCGCTAAATTTAATTCATTACATTAGTAACAATATGCGTTGAGCAGCAAAAAAAGTGATGTGCTCTTTGAACAAGTGATTTATTTAACGCCTCGAATTCGACGTCGGTGGATTTCCACTCATAGATGAGCAAGTGATTAGACCAACGTGAGTTGATATAGAACATTTTCTTTGTGGTCGTTTGTTTTCCGTAGAGGTTTTTCCGTAGATTGTTTTCCGTTGTATTTTTCGTATTGAGCCGATAGCCTGTGCGAAGCAGATCACTGCGCTGCGGATCCGACCTGGAGACCTATTATGTATGCTTACTAATTTACAAAAACTCTTTTTTGGACGAGTACATTCGTTGGGAAGAGTGTTCGGCAAATGAATTATCCTAAAATTGAATATGAATATCTAATGACACCATCGCATTAATATCACAACTCTTAGTGAACTATATCGATCAAAATAAGGAAAACCATAATAAAACTGAGATATTCACAAAACTCGGAACACCAGGTCAAATTGGAAACCGTAATTACTCTTTTGGGTCGCTCACGTGTTATCCACTACACCAGTGAGGTCCTGCCTTCTCTTCCACTCAGCCAGTTTTTTACCCTAACGGCGCCGTCAGCAATAGCCCGTCAACGGGAATAGTCTAGGAGCAAAATCGGAATTGAACACAGTTAAGCTGAAGCTGCAATCGAAACCACAATGTTTTAACTTTTATTTGCCGCGTACTAGAATTTTTCAGGGTACGGTATTACGCGAAGTACAACCACAGTGATTCTAAAAAGTAAAAAATTGTGATTTCAACTTCAGCATTAGTTTAACTGACCTCAATGCCGATACGAGTTTCCTAGATCAATCCTATTGACGGGTGATTGCTGATAGCACTGATCTGTAGAAAAGTACCTGAGAGGCAAGCGAAACGAAAGAGCCGCATGGTGTGGTGGTGAACCGCGTTAGCCCCGGTAGGGATAATAACGCGTTCGTTCTCCACCGCAAATACCTGCGGTCCGGAGTTTTACAAATATCTCGGCATCGTTGTGGTTGTATTTCGTGAAATCACAATGTTTGATACTTTATTTACTGCCTATTATCCTTCGATGACAGGATATTATAACAACAATGATGCTGAGATAATTGCAAAAGTAAGAGGTTAAACATTGTGATTTCGACTGCAGTCTCAACTTAACTTGATTCGGTACCGACTTGTACTCACGAGATCATTCCTGTAAATAGGTGATTGTTGATAACTTCGTTAGGGTGAAAAACACTGAGAGAAAAGCGTACAAGGGCCTCGGTGGTGCAGTGGCTAATATGTGGGTCCCGGAAACGGCAATCACGGGTTCAGAGCTATCCTGAAGTCCGAGTTTCGCAAATACATCAGCACCATTGTGGTTGTCCTTCACATAATACACTGGCACGAAAAAATAATAAACGATGGGTAGAGTTAAACATTTATAAACAAGGACAGTTGGATTCTGCAAATTTTTGCAGTATGGAAATTACAGGTCAAATAAATTTGTCAGGCACATGGATTTAGGTGCCGGGTGTTAAATACTGGCGAAGATTGCGTAAGTACTTCATTTTAAAATCTTTTTCAATAAAAGGTTTCGCAAAAGATGGATAGAACTAGCTGAGAGAGGCAAAATGTTAAGAAATAGTTCGATTTTTTCTGAAACGCATTAGACATACTTGAGTTTTCCAGAGATTACGCACTTTCTGGCGGTCATCGACTTGCTCCTGATGTTTACGGTGAATGGATAGCTGTTCCCACCAACGTGGCTCTCTATTGCTTGAGGAACGTTCGGGTAGAGTCATTTCGACTGCTGACTACAAAATCAGTGGATGCTTCTTGATTTGTCAAGAAACCCTACCATGAGAAATTGATAGGTGAATGAGATCGAAATTTGCTTTAATGAAATGATTTTTTAGTGTTGCAAAACCTTCAGCTAAGAAGTAATTTCTTTATGAGGTTGATGAATCCACGCACACAAAAACAAAGGTATTTTTCGGCGAAACACAAGGTGCTAAATTCAAACGCTAGTTAAGCATAACATACTCACTGGCCAAACTTACCGTACTTTGTACTGATTGAGTTGTTGGTGCACTTGTAGTGGACGTTGTTTCACGGAACACCTTCGGCTTCTTTCGCTTCTTATCACGAGAGGACGTTCTAAATCACTGGCGAGTTCTACAAATTTATTATCGATAAGCGAAGACAATAAGTTACTAAACTACTTGCCTGTTTGGTTAATTAACTCTAATTAGCACTAAGTCCATAATTTCGTCTATTATTAAGCTAATATGAAGTGCATAAAGGTGTTTATTCGGCTAACGTTTCGACGTGTTCGTCTTCCTTAGAGTTGATAGTCCACAGTCACTCGTCTTGTGGCGTCTTTGGTTTCATATCGAGCCCAATCTTCTCCAGTAGAACACCGCGCGAACGATGCAAACTCACACGGCAGCGCTCTTTTATAAAGGACGACGTCAGCCGAATAAACAACTTTATCAACCTAGCGACAACTTAGTAATCCAAGAAAGTATTGATAATTAATGCCGTGGTTAAATGACGGTCGGTCTGAAAAATATTAACACCAAGACATTTGAGACAACAATAATTAAATACAGCCACAATGATACTAAGATATTTGGAAAATCCAGAACCTACGTCACTTTCGAAGCTGCGATTACCACTTCTGAGGGATTATATACTACGCACTGCACCACTGAGGCCTTTGCTTTGGCTTTCTCTCAGCCAATTTTTTTACCCTAATCGTGCATCAGCGATCACCCGTCAGTGGGAATGATCCGAGGAGCACAAATAGGCGTTGAACCAAGTTAAGCCGAGATTGCAGAAAGAATCACGTAGTTGAATAGTATTTGATAAAAAGTTAGAAAGAATCACAGTGCTAATTCTTTATTTGCTGTCTACTATAATTTTTCACGGCAGAGTATAATGCGAAATGCAGCCACAATGATGCTGAAATATTTGCAAAACTGTGAACCGCAGGCATCTACGGTGGGGAACGAACGCGCTATTGTCCTTTCCGGGGAGTAACGCGTTCACCACCACACCATGCTGGCCCTTCATTCCGCCTATCTCTCAGCTAGTCCTGTCGATCTATCAGCAGTCACCTGCTAACGGGATTGATCTGGGGGGTTCAAATCGGCTTTGAATCCAGTTAAGCTGAGGCTGTAGTTGAAACCATAATGCTAACTTTTCATTTGCTGCCTACCATAATTTTTCACGGCAGGATATAGTCGTGCTTTGTGAGCACTAAGAAACTGAAACCTTAGATAAACAAGGCACATAATTTCTCTCAGGCATACTAATGTTTGAAGAAAAGCTTTACACTTTATAAGAAGAGTTATCAATGATTAGTGGTGTAACTGCCCTGTTAAGTATCCGTTCAGTTTCATCGGCATGGCAAACACATTCCAAGTAGAACTGTGCTGCGTAATTCGCATCGGTGGCAACCAATTCCCTCAACTTTACAATTTTCACGTCCATATCCTAAATAACGACAACAATGGTAAGAAAAAAACACAAAGCAATGCAAACACCTTGGTTGAAAAAAATCAGGATTGAGTCTGATTTTAGCTGCGGTCAACGTCAAGCAGTTGGGAAATGTTCAAGAATCTTATTTCATTCCTATTCATTAGCCAAGGGTCCCACCAATGATCGATTGAGTGTGCCCTACATGGCACCTATAACCACTTAACTGCATGCACCTCTTGAAGTTCTCAGATGCATGGATACTTGCATAGCCCGTCTTCAATGGTACTGCGGGTCTCCTACACTTTCCGTTCATTTCTTTCTCGCATAATCACATTCCATCTTCGAATGGCGGTCTGCTTCGAACATGGTAACGTAGGCAAGGCTCATTCCGAAATCCTTAAATCCTTCCCATCTGCGAATATAAATAGTTGCCGTGAGCCACGAAAAGACCAGCCCATCGTTTCGATAACCGTCCAAGGAGACGTTTGGATTTTCTTGGAGTCCACTTCATTGTTCGTTTCTTCTTGTCATCTGTTCTTTTTATTTTATGACAGTTCCATCTGTTTTTCGATATCGATGTGTATTCTTCTGGATTCCGAAGATGACGTTAGTTTCGGAGACCTGAGATGCGCATTCCGACTAGCCGTTGTGAGTACCGGCTAAATCCTAGGGGACATAGCTAAGCTGCTTGGTAGGAGATATGCAGATTATTGACGTGGTTGCAGTGTCAGCATAGTAGAGCGCGGGGAAGGCTGTTGAATCAAAAATATGAGCGTCGTTTTTCGGGTCCTTCAGTTGGTTGGTGGCTTCTTTGAGAGGCCCGAATGCGGTCCAACCTGCTCTTTTTCTTCTATGTAATTCCTCTTTCACATTGTTCTCCATGTCTACTGAATTTCGAAGGTGCGCGTATCAGGTGGTATATGCAGTCAGAAAACTATCCAGTTCGCTTTTTTCACCTTCGCACCCCAGGTTCTTCATGAATCTTCGTCCTATTCATGCGCCATTCAATCTTCATCTTGGCTTCCTCGAATTCGCCGAGCACGTTTTTTTTTCCTTTTCGCTTCTTTGCTGCAATAGTACTTCTCGAAATGATGACGATGTCGTCCGCAAAATGACAATTCAACATTCAACAGGAATTTTTTTAATCAACACGTATGCCCTACTCGTCCCAATCGAGTGATCTCGTTATCCACTGCAATGGTACAATGAACAGCTTTGATGAGATACTGTCTCCGTGTTGAAACCCTTTTTCTATGGCGTTAGCGAGGCGTCGATGGAAAACCTGTATTTTTGTCTTTTAGTTCCGTAACAGCTTGATAGAGGTTGACGAGCGCTAATGGAATCGTATTCATTTCGATTCTGTCAAACCCATTTCAGTGGTCGATAAAGGTTAAGACGAGGAAAAAATGGCTCTCGACAGAATTCTATGACCATAGAATCCTTGACGGAATCTGGCTTGCACAACTGATCTCTGTTAGGTACAGTAGGAGAATCTTCGTAAACAGTTTGTAGAGTATACTCAACAAGCGTATCGGTCGGTAGTTGCAAAGATCCTCTTGGTCACCTTTCTTAGGTAGGGTGATTGTGCGTGACGTCCTCTACTGGTCCGAAACTTATTCGTTTTGAAGACAGGATTTCATAAATTTTGGGAGAAATATATGCAGATTGGCGCTTTCTGCTCTATGAAAGTCGGCAGTGATATTATCGGATCTTGAAACTGTGCCTTTTTTCAAGGTTTTTGTCGCAAATCGAACTTAAAAGGGTAGAATTATGGGCAGTTTTTCACCATCTGCGACTTTGGGAACTAAGAAGAGGATTGTGGAAGGAATGACTGGTGCAGAACTTTTCCCTTATCATAGCTGGAAGTTTTATTGGTCTGTATTCGTTCATCAAGGTGGATAACGGAACATTATAATCGCAAAGATCCCAACAGCACCCTTCAGACTAGATCGTTCTTGAGCGGCTTCCGATAACTTTTCCTGCCTATTTCGGTGCAAACCATTTTGCAAGGGTTTTCCACAGCTGGTATTTATTACCAGCGGTGCTAGGTGTGTCGTAGTTCGATTAAGACTCAGTTTCCCTCTTCTTTCGAGCGGCCGGTTAGTGGTGATGTAGATGAGGTCTGGACCTCTTCTTCGATAAGCTGAAGTGAGTTCGGCAAAAGTTTTAGGTTCTTCGATAAACAGCCTGAACTTCTGATTCGGGTCTTCTTCGTTCTGCCAGTCATATGAAGAGTGGATTTTATTTGAATATTTTCATCATATACGATTTGCTTCGTTCTTCCTGAATGAAAATTTTTTTCAGATTATGGGTGAATCGAATCTTCACACCAAGAGGGCGGTGACTGGATCCAGTAAAGAATCCAAACACAGCTATGTTTTCAAAGAGGTACCATCTTCAATTCTAGAAAATATGGAATACGGCACGACGGGAATCGCGTTTTGGACGTTTTTCGCGGAAAATTCGTTCACAGCTAAAGCAACTTGTCTGCGCTATCGTAACTCGTCCGCATAATGTTTAAAGTTTAAATATTTAATATTGCGTTTGCACGACGAAATTCGCGTTCTGCGAGGAGTTACGGTTGCGCAAACGTAGTCCCGCCCCTGGTCGTCCCGTCGGGTGCTGCGGTGCGACCTCTCTCGCCACCCCCAAATTCGTCGTTTTTCAGCGATTTCCTTTCTCGGGGCCTCCCTTTCTTTTCTTACCGTATCTGACTGTTCTCTGCACGAACCGTGCCGTTAGGAGGTTCCCATATCAACCGACGATTTTCTCTCTTCTGGAAATATTAATTCCTATAGAAGTGTGCTGCGGGTAGAGGCCCTATAATACGGTTTCGACCTTCATTTCAAATTCTAACGCAGAATATTCCTATCATGTATTCATTTTCACTGTCTGTATTTATCTGACATTAAAGTCTCCAGCGAAGAACGCGTCCAGTTCCTGTGATCAGCTGCGCAAGTTCGTGAGTACTTACTTACTTACTTGGATATTTGGATGGCCCGTCTTCACTGCTTGTATGGGTCTCAACATTATCTCCACTGTTTGGTGATTTGCTGGTTTAGCCGTTGTAATTCTCTGGAGTTCTGAGGTCTGCCTTGCCAAAGTCTGCCCTAGGTCGTCTCCACCACTGGCAGTCGCTACCCTTGTGGATCAGACGGAGATTTGCTACAATGCGACCACTTTGATACCCGGACAGTGGTGGGTCCTGGTATTGGTATCTAATTTTAGCTAGGCTTTTTTCATAGGAAACGTCGGACTCCATCTCAGCTTGGGAAAGCCTGCTAGGGAGAAGAATCCCACCGCTGTACGCGCCGTGTTTAGAGCTGCCCTGCAACGCACATGGGATTGATCTCGCGCCGCAGGCTCAGCAAGCCTTCCATCCCTCCGGGATTGGAAAATTGGTACCAGCCTTGCCTGGGAGGATAGCGCCCCTGATTTCCTATGTCGGTAGGCCAGAGCGAATCATTGTGGAGGCCAGATATGTATTCATTCACCTCTAATGACGTTTGATAAAGTCTAATGTATTACGCAGCCTTCAAGGATTTATCAACGCCGAATGATTTTCTCTTTATCCTTAACGTGGTGACTAGATGAAAAATAGACAACAAACACTACACGTCCAACATTTCGTAACGGAAATTCCCCTGCATCAATGACAAGCGTTCCGCCATCTAATTGACCTATGTCGGTCTTTTTGGTTTTCGTCTCTAGTAGGACGATCACATGGAATTTGATGCGACCACCGCCTCTAGGAAGAGCGTAGAGGTGCATTTATGGTTACCTAAAGCTCATGTGAAAGCACCAACAACGGTAGAATGTTATTAGTTGGACTGTTGTTGAAATTAGGAACAGCTAGATTTTTGCGTATTTTAGGTGTTTGAAGTGACCGTTCTAGTGTTATAGATATAGAGCAAGAAGAAGCCCACATGTCTTGGTTGTGGTGTTTCGGCTCTTCCTCGTGACGTCTTATGCAACCAGAGATTTCGTCACCTTTTACCGGTTGTCTCAGCACCCGACATATAGGAGACGCCAATGTGTGGAGTAATGAAGCTGGATTATTACTAGCTCAACGATTTGTGGCTTCATGGAGCCCCTAGGTCTGCTTAGCCGAAGCTTTGATTAGGTCGTGACAACCATGGGCAGTCGCTAGGCGTTGTGGATCAGCGAAAGACTTGCCACATTGAGACTAATCTGATATCAAGACCATGGTTACTCCTGGTACTGGTTTACACTTAGCTGGTCCTCCGAATGGATAGGTTCTTAGTCTTTTCATTGCTTCTTTTTGAAACTATCACTTATTTTCAATTGGTACTATTTTCTTATAAACCTAATTCCAAACAAACACATACCGCTGTGCGCTTCCAGACTGAATCCCTATTACAACGTCGATGCAGTTCATTTCGTCTTGCCAGTGCTTCGATCTGAAGGCGAAGTGCAGCCTTCCACTCAGATCCATCCATAGTTAGTTTGCTGCAAACAAGTGAGATTTTTTTATATTTTGAATTCATTGTATAGAAACGGAAAATTTGAGTGCTAACGAAAAAATAAATTTACTAAGCGTTAAATGATTATAAGGTACTAAGTTACTAATGACATTGTGATACGAGAGTATTAAGTAATTCGATTAATGCGGTGACAGGTATAGTACAAAATTCGGTTTCAAATGTAAAACGGCGGCCGCAGTTTCTTGAAAATCATCTCCAGGTCATCTTAGAACTCCAAGGGAAGAAAAGACAACGGAAGTTACCGCCGTTGTCACAGGCCATATATCTAAGTCTGAAATGCGTCAGAGCTCTATCCAAGTGTTCTTCAACTTATTTCTCTTTAAAAACCTTTCAGCTCAAAAGTAGTTCTTAAGTAATAACCATTTACAAGCTTCATCCTAGTTCAAAAACTGTGTTCAGCATCATGGTTGTCGAATAGGATCCATTTTCATCGCATGTCACAAAACAGTTAAAAAGTCGTCCCTTTTATTGTGTAGAGAAGCCCGGAGCTGATTACATCGTTTTCAAAATCTCTCGGGGAGCTCGGTGCTCAACAACTTTGGAATTCTGTTCTAAACCACCTCTGCCACCTGTAGTACCGTTGATCGTCGATTGACTCGGACTTGCGCCAGTAAATCCTCCACTCTTCCCTGCCACATGCAAGAGTAGCCCAGTGGGTTCTGCTCGCTCTAGAGATTCGTCGAGCATCATATCTTTCTTCTAGGCTTTTCGTGAAGATCTCTGACCATCGACTCGGTGGTGTTCCTGCAGTGCGTTTAACATCTCGAGGAATCCAGTCACTAACGGCTCCTCTCCATCGGTTGTCATTCATACGCATAACGTGTCCGGCCCTCCCTATCTTGGACTGTTTGGCGTACAGAACGACATCTTTCATTCTTGGTCGTTGACGCAGGTCGGAGCTTCGGATCCCTTCCCTTACTTGTGTGAAACGGGATACTCCTAGCATCGTCCTTTCGACTGCGCGCTCGATGGCGCTGAATAACCTTATCCTGCTTACGCAGCGACCCGGTTTCTGACGCATACGTTAGGGGAGGAAGTACCGTTGAGTCGCAAAGATGGGCACGGAATCAGCTGTTCTTTGTCCTCTTTACTGCATCATCGATGCTCTTGAATGCTCCCCAGGCCGCTCGTTTCCTTCTGCTCAACTCTGAAGCTAAGTCGTTCAACTTGTTGATTTGAGGACCTAGATAAAGATAACTGGAGTATTCGAAGATATTCGTTCCGTTGAGCGTAAATGGGGCATGAGAAACGAATCCGTCCCTCTTGAACATCGTTTTTGTGAGATTTAGTCGAAGACCAATCTTCCCACAGGCTTTGTCAAAGTCGGCAAGCATACGTTCCTCTTGGCTAATGTTTGGTGCTATAAGGACGATATTATCAGTAAAACGAAGATGGTGTAACTGTCGGCCATCAATTTTAACTCCCATATTATCCAATTCCAATGTTTGCATGACGTTCTGGAGGGTGGCGGTAAACAATTATCGCGAGATGGTATCGCCTTGCCTAACCACTCTCTTCACGTCAATGTTAGTATCGTTGTATCTACAGAATGGTGACATCTTGGTTGTGAAATTTTTGTACGGCTCATGAAGAATCTTTATGTACTCAGTAGGGACTCCTTCAGTGTCAAGGATTTCCATGACTGCTTCTATCTCAATTGAGTCAAACGCCTTCTGTAAGTTGATGAAAGTGAGACAGGGCGGTCTTTTGTACTCTCGCGACACTTCAATGAGCCATGTTACCGTGTGGATGTGGTCCAACGTACTAAATCCTTTCGAAACCCTGTTCCTCACATGGCCGTCCTTCGTTTAGTGTTCTGTCAGTCTTGTTTAGGATGACTCGAGTGAAAAGTTTGTAGACGACAGGCATGCCTATATCGTGGAGTTCACCCTTCTTGAACAATAACACGGTCTTGCTGGTCTTCCACTGAGTAGCCACCTTGCATTCAGACAGGTAACGCGTGAAGAGCCGAGCCAGTGTGTTTACGAGGACTGGCGGAATATTCTCCAAGTGTTCAGATCGCATCCTGTCCGGATCTGGTGCTGATCGATTTTTCACCAACGAAATGGCGTTTAGGATTTCGGAAGGCAGAACCGGTGGTGCAACGTATCCATCCTCCTTTATTTCATATGACGGAAGGTGGACTTGGCTATCGAAGAGATCCGAAAAGTTCCCAGGTCGACTTTCTATTAACCTCGGCATTGGAATATGAATGCGTCGTTTTCTTGTTCAGCAATCGCGAGGTTGTTAAACAGCATACATTTACTTCCACAGAGAAACACAATACAATACAACATTAGCTGACGCTTCGGCAGTATCGCCTTCTTCAGAGCCTGGAAGGGTATACTGATATGCAATCTACTAGGCCAAACGCTTCAATAGCACTTACAAAAAGACGAAAAACTCTATGGTAATTACATGATCAACAGCTTCTCGAAAAACTCACAGCTTTTTTCGTGACTTCCAATAAGGAAGACTAGAACAGCTGATTATAGTCGCATATGGTTGATGGCTGCACCATCCCACATCAGAAGTTGATGCGAACATACGGGGTCAGGTCGCGTATGACCTCCGGGCATTCGTCCCTGCTATTCATTGTAGGGTTTTTGGCATTTATCCAAAAAGCCTCAAGGAGTTTTCGCGCTGGTGTTTTGGACTCCTGTGCAAGGATATTGACTTTTACTTCAAAATCGTCTCCGCTATGCTTTTGTATCCTATGCGTGCCTAGTGGGGTGCTTCGTCTTAGTTTTCGTTTGCCATCTAGGTGTTCTTTTATACGGATACACAAAGGTCTGCCCGTTTCGCCAATATATTCATCTCCGCAATTATTACAAGAGATCAGGTATATCGTACCCGAACTCATGCAATCACCGTCCCTGCCGTAAGAGCAAATTACGCAATTTGTTGCTTCACATAGACGATCATATAGGCGGTTACGAACTAATTGACGACGTAGAGTAACCGGTGGTATTTCAACTATCGCTACCGATTCCTCTAGACCTGCCCTTTTAAAGCATCGTTTTATAGCTGCGCTTACTTCATCGCTTATAAAAGGCAACATAAATGGGCTTTCTTTTGGCCAAGTGTTTCGCGTGGGCGCGTCGCTCTCCTTCTAAACTTATCTCGTGGGGTTACTATTTCGTAGCCATTAGAGATGGCTATTTGCTGAGCCAAGTCGCGCGATTCTTCCTTTAGTTCCCTGGTAGTGCACACAGAGGTTGCTGTTCGAAACATGTTTCTCACAAGCGCCCTCTTTGTGTGTGAAGGGTGGGAAGAAAGGAAATGAACGAGGATGTTCTTATTACTTGGCTTTTGGTACCAGTTTGTCAAGTAACCGCTACTTTATAGGTTTATTTGAACGTTCAAAAGCGGAAGCCAGTTTTTATAGGTTTCTCCTGGGTAAACTTTATGTACTCAGACTGCTCGCTCAATAATTCAAAGTATTTGTTCATCTCCTCCTGCGTAGAGAAGACGACAAAACAATCATCTACATATCTGCAGTAAAGTAGTGGCCGTAGATCGAGAACAGGGGCTTCTATCTTAGACATAAACACAATGGCAAGGCTTGGTGCCAATCGCTGTCCCATTGCCAACCCCCTTATTTGCGCGAAATATTTCCCAGACCATCTGAAAATCGAGCAGTTTAGGCACTCCTTTAAGAGAGCCATTTGCTGCTGGATGGACAAGTCATGCATATTTATTCTTCCTTCATGTTCAACAAGAAGTTCGAAGATGGCTTGCATTGCGGAGTCATTCGATACGTTGGTGTACAGTGCGGTAACGTCGAAAGACTCCATCACGTACGCGTTATTGGGAGACGCGTTACGTAGACGTTCTAGGAACATTTGGGTGTTTGTGAGGTGAGCTGGAATGTGGTTAAGCAACTGGGTAAGTATCAGGCTTAAAAACCAGGTTATTCTGTCCGTTGGCCCGTCTACACAGCTGATGATCGGTCTAACCTTAAATGATGACGAATTGGTTGACGCATGATCATCAGGTGATACCAACTTATGTGTTTTAATAAGTAGGTATAGGACGGGACATGTTGGTCTATCGATTTTAAAGTGCGAAATAACCGATGATTTTAAACCCGCAGCCTTTGCCACGCTGAGCCATTGATTGTTTAGCTTTCGGTGTTGACTTTTATATTTCTTTTCAGAGGATGGGCGATAGAGGGTAGCATCACTAAGATGTTCCTCTGTTATCTCAACGTCCAGCTGGCGAGGAATAACTACGATCTCTCCACCCTTATCACTAACAGACAATCTTATTGTTTTCGAGTTTATTAATTCTCTAATTTCCCGCATGCCACATTTTTGTGCGGCTATAAGGTTAGAGATAAACTTTCTATCGCGGTAGTAATCAAGGGTCTTGAGAATGTCGTCCGAAAACACGCGGAATTTTATGTCTACTCCATCGTTAGGGTCCTGCTGTCTAAAAAACGTTTTCGGGAAAGGAGATGGTGGCAGTGCCGCCGCTTCTTGATCTTTATCTCTATTTGATGTTTCTTGCTTGGCCTGATAGCGGAGTCGATCTTGAAGCTCATAAAGGTTGCATACTATCCTACGTAGTGTCGTTTTAGAAATGGGCTGTGATGGTGCAAAACTTGGGCCCAATTCTAATAGCGAGCGCGCATTCTCAGGTATTGTTATGCCCCCAATCACGGTGACCCTAGATTTTCTTGGTGCATTATCAACCCTATTTTGACTATTATCAGAAGTTTAAGGAATTCGTTTACGGTTCTTACTTGAAGCTGAGACGTCGATGTTGTCGACAACGGGATCCGAGTAGTATTAGTGAATGATTTTCTCCATTGCCTTTCTGGACGCTGTAAACTGTTCCGTCTGGGCGTCGGACTGCAATCATCTTAGTCTTGTAATTGGCGAAGCTTCGGTGGGCTTTGCAAATGCTTTTCCCAGTTTCTCCAGCTTCGACCATTACTGCTGCTCTTCTCTCTTTAATATCTTCTTTTATCGACTGTCTGCATTGTTGTGCAAGTTCGGGCGTCAGTTCGCGGTTGCCTGCAGTTCGCGCGATTCTACGCTGGCTTATCAGCTGGAGTGTTTCTGGAGACAGACGTCTCTTGGTGACTTTCGAACTCTCAGCTTTCATAGCGCTAACGTGAAGATGTTGAGTGGGCTGATCGTATTCTTCGTCGATGTTATCGACAACGGCATCTTCCCAACAGCCGACTAATGAATTGAATAAGTCCCAGTTTGTGGTGGTTCTGGGACTTCGGTTTTTGAATTTAGCGGCCTCTTCTCCTTTACGCGAGAAATAGAATTTTGCGCGAAGAAGGAGGTCGTCCGATCTAGTGTAGAATTTTGGGGCAGCAGCGACATCGGTTAGGCAATACCTTCGCTTTACTATGATATGCTATTGGCTATTTGCCTATGGTCTTCTCCATTGAGAGATTCCCACGTCTAGCGTTGAGGGTGGAGCTTCTGGAATTGCGAGTTGGCCTAAATGGTCTTGGTCGTCATGTTAAACTTAGACAGCCGCTCACCCTCTTCGTTCCATTCTAATCCATGGGTCCCAATGTGACGTTCTTCAGACGTTCGTCTTATTCCAATCTTGGCGTTAAAATCTCCAATGATGATCTTGAAGAATGTATGGTCTTCTTTGTAGAACTTCTCCGAGTTCATATAGAACGCTTCGACTTCTTCTTCGTCATAGCTCGACGTTGGCGCGTAAACGACAAAGATTGTCAAAGCCGGTATTGATCCACATCTTTTTAATCGTAAACGTCCGATTCGGGTTGTTAGTTGTTCGAATGAATCGATGTTCATGGACAAACTTGTGTTGACGAGAACGCCGATGCGGCCGACTCCTTTACTGTCGCATGTTCCAAGGAACAGTCCTTCTCCGGCGTCATGAACGGTATTGAGTGGTTGGCGTCGTCTCGTCTCCTGCAGGCAGATGACGTCGTAGTTTATCCTTCTCGTCTGCATGATCAAGTCTTCTATCGAAGACTCGGACGCAAGGGTACGTGCATTGTAGGTACAGATCGTCACCTTAGTTCTTCGTGATCCAGGCAGCTTCCATTGGCCCAGAGATTTTAGCAGCCTCTTCATACTCGTCCTACCCAACGTTGCGAAATTGGGTGCTCTTTCAGGGTCAGGGGAATGAGGCCCGTTTTTTTTCTACTGTATTTGGCATTTTTGATACCCACGCATAGCTTGCCGTGCTCTGAACTTGTAGGCTGGGTATACTCACTGGTAGCTTGCCAGTCTCTCCCAGAGTGGACATGGAGCTTTTTTTGTTGGAGGCGACTCCTAACCGCCTCTCATATACTTCCCTGTCACTTGATTGCGGTATTTTGGCGGAATTGACTCATAGAATACAATCTGCATAAACTAAAACGCACCTACACACGCGTGCATGAGTACACCTCGTAAGGACAAAAGGTATGTGCCAAATCGGCACAGCAAAAATGGGGAGTCCATCTCCTGGATCCACCTGCGTCTCAGGGAAACATACGGTCGTTTTGGTTCGCGATTAACCCCCTATCCATCTCCTGGGGACGTGCCACGTAGCCTCGCAACTAATCGGCTATCGGGATCCCTTATATAAGGGAGATTCGTGGACACTGATTTTTTACTCACTTCTTCACTAATATGGGTCCTGGATATTACGGTAACAGGCGTTGTTCATGTTCTTGTAACAGGAACCAGAGCGCTTGGGTGGGGATCCCGCAGTGGACTACGTTGCCGTGCGCTCAAGGACTTCCAAACTTGGGCTGTGAACCATGGCGCAGTTAATAGGAACTCTGCAATGCTCCTTCATTTGCTACTAAAATATCTTCAAGAGAATCTCACGCAGCCGTAGTTTTCGGACCACAAAATCGACCACGACCGCGGTCGGAGTCGGTGAACCGTGGCCACTTCAGGAAACTGCTTCCACTTAAGGATTTTAAGGAAGCAACAAGGCCTCCATGAATTTCCTCCAGTGCATAGAAACAGTGGCCGAATATCCCAACTCAAACTGACACCATAGCATCGTGGTTTGAACCGAAGCCTATGGACAGTCGGATGTTGTCACGAGTCTCATCGACGCTCTCATCGGACTCTGTTGCAGATCTCTTCCCCTTTGACTCGGAAATTTTTGTGGACACTGGTCCAAATGACGTGAGCAAGGTGAACAAGAGTGTGGAAAAAGAAGATAGCAATGAAAAGAAGAATGAAACGCATAGTGTGGTTGCTCTCAGAAATCCGAATACTGTTGCTATCTGCACACCACCTGGAATGATCACAGACCTGCCATCCAAGCCCGCGCTCGATATTTCAGATACTAGCGAATCATTGAATGCACGCATTCCAGCAGTGGCTCCCACTGAACTGTCCGCTTCCTCAGAGCCGTGATGTTGCGTGTGGGACCCGTGTGGCTCTGAGGAAGACGAAGTCGCCGAAGCGTCAGCCATCGACCAACAACATCAAAAACAACGACAACGGCAACGAAGACCTGTACCAACCTCGCGTCAGCTTAAGAAGATTAGTTTATAAGACCATATAAATAAATATCCAATGTGGAGTGTTGGAAACGCGACTGAGTGCAGTCCTTTAGCCGTCGCTGCTCTCAATCTGAAGTTTTGCTGTCAACAGGCCCATGGATCTCCCCCAGCGGTCATCTACAACTTCATCTCCATAGGCGAGTGGTTCCTGTCAATCGCCGACTGCTTCAATATCTCAGCTGACGGCATTATCTTTTGCACTGTTAGCACTTTCAAAATTGATATGGAGAAATTGTTTTTGGGTAACTTGGGATGCTCGAATATGGTATTTGCACATATAAAAGCACAAGCCATTGAAGTTGAACTCACCAAAACTGAAGGGTTGTTTGGACTCTCGGTGAGTGAGAATGGTCGACGCAGGTCGTTCATCAAACGATTAAAAAAAACAGCGTTGTCTCTCGAGCGCGACCAGCCCTCGCTGTGGAGCAGTTGATTGAGTGTATCGACGGAGTCGATGTGACCGGTATGAGGCACTTTGAGTGGTGCGAATCCTCAGAAATATGCCAATCGGTAAAACTTCCATTCCGCGACTGGTATCTGCAAAGCAATCGGACTTCCAACAGATTGCTTCCCGTTCAATAGCTTCAAGTAAGAAGAACGTCAATGACGGAATGCAGACGCTACGATTCAATGCGAAGGGAGGAGTCATGATCGAGGAGGGTGGCGTTGATAAAGAGATGATTGGTCGCTTAGACGAGATTCTCGATTCTGTTCTATAGGAATAGAAAATTGTACTTCGTCTGCCACGGTATCTGTACTACGGATCTCCTCCCTCACAGAGGGACCTTCTGCTGGTGAGTTTCGAGGAAATGTGGTGCCTTCCCAGGCGGCGAATAGGGATTAGTACCTCCTTTATTTACGAGGAAGTACTCATGCATACGTGCGTCGATGTGTTTTCGTTTATGCGAATTGTATTCTGCGAGTCAGCTCGGCCAGTACCCTGCAATCAAATAACAAGGAGGTATGCGGAAGCCCGTTTGGAATCGCACCCAATAAGTAAGCTCTTGTTTATTCTGGAAAACATTAGGTTATTCTGAATATATCCAGCCCTCAGATATAAGCTATACATGGGTATCAAATACTATACAAATTCAAACAAGTGTTGCTCACTCTTTTGACAGCAAAAGAGTTCCCAGAGTCATTCTAGGCTGCTTAAATTTCGAAAGACTAAGGTGACGATCACCACCTACAGTGAAAACTCACTTGTATCTGAGTCCTCGCTAGAAGACTTGATCCCGCATACAAGAAGAATAAGATACGACGTCATCGGATTGGTTGAGACGACAAGACGCCACTCATTCAACGCCGTTTATGACACCGGAGAAGAACTATTCCTCGGAACATGAGACAGTAAAGGAGTCGGCCTCATCGGCGTTCTCGTCAACACAAGTTTGTCCATGAACATCGATTCATTGGAACAGCTTACAACCCGAATCGGACGTTTACGATTAAAAAGAGGTGGATCAATACCAGCCTTGGCAATCTTCGTCGTTTACGCGTTGTCATTAAACTATGACGAAGAAGAAGTTGAAGCGTTCTATATGGACTTGGAGAAGTCCTACAGAGAAGACCATACCTTCGTTAAGGTCATCAATGAAGATTTTAAAACTAAGGTTAAACCCAAGACGTTTGAGGAACACCACATTGTAATACACAGATTAGAATGGAACAAGCAAGATGAGGAGCTGTACGAGCTTATCATGACGACCAAGAGCATGCACGATAATTCGCAATTCCAGAAGTCCAATTCTCGCCGGACGTGGAAGCCTCTCAGTGGAGAGCCCCATAACGAAATAGATGACATCATAGTAAATCGAAAGTTTTGCCTTACCGATGCCGCTGTGATGAGGGGTTGGCGGGCGCCCTCAGCGTAGACAGTGGTGAATTGAAGTGCTTGGAGAAAGCTTGTACAAGCACAACTGTTCAAAAACTTGCAGAAAAACTCGGTGCAAGCATATAAATTGTTTCAGAGGTTCTAAAGAAGGTATAACATATTCATTCGGTTAACATTTCGAAGTCCTAGCCTTCTTCAAACCCGGATTGATCTGAGTCGGGCATCTACTAGTGGTCATCCTCGCAATGTGGTTGCTCGTTGTCGCATTGAGTCGATCTGAGTGAAGTGCGGCACCGATCAAATCTCACTCGTCGGTGCCTTTAAAAAGGTTGGTCGAGTCCCACCATCGAATATGATCCGCTTTTTGGTGAGTTGTAGCAGTCGGTGGCATACTAGCTGCCACATAGCTTGTAGCTTTATGCCATGTCATTATTGTATGATTACTATATCAAGATTATTTATGCCGAGGGTAAATAAAAGTGGATCTTCATTAAACGTTTAAAGAATATTTAAAAGTTGGGAAAACTCAGCAACTGGGTGCTGCACAAATTTATGGGAAGCGAAGGAATCGTCGTCTTGAGCTGTCATGGGCACTTCCTCTGAATAAGCGGAATGACCCGTTTCTCCACCGTATTGTGGTGTACGATGAGAAATAGCCATAGGCAACAACCGGCGGCGACCAGCCCAGAGGTTGGATTGCGATGAAGCTCAGCAGTACTTTCCAAAGTCAAAATTGCGGCAAAAATGCTGATTTGCTATTGGTTTTATCCATCACAGTTTCGTGAATCCAATTAAAGCCATTACGGCAGAAAGGTACGTCCAGCAAGTCGATAAAATGTCCAGAAACTTTGATGGCTGCGTCCCACATTGTTTAACAGTAAAGGACCAATCTTTCTTCAGAGTAACGCTCAACAACACGTCTCATCACCAGCGTTCTCACAACAGGACGAGGTTGAAGCTCCTTAGAGGCTTTTATCGGCTCTATGAGTCCAGAAAACTTTGCAACTCGTCTCTTTGGACCAACATTACATTAAAATCCAGAGAACCTAGTATTTTGATTAGCACACTTATATATGGAGTTTTTTTTACAATGTTCTAAAACTCACTGTCCGAAACCGCAAATACTTCCGTACCACACCTGTCTACGTTGATGCGCAGGTGTAGAAAATGGAGTTCGTGCTTGTACAAAGATGCCTACGTGTGAGCATAGGCAAAGGCTTCTGTAGCACACTAGTTAGAGATGCCCTAAAGCACATGCAGGTTCGATCCCATAACTCGCGTAGCTCATTCCCTTCATCTCTTCGGGGTCGGCAAATTAGTACAGGGCCTTGTATGGTAGGACAAGAACACTGACGCGATGCATTGATAGGCCACAAGTCGAACAACAATTTTCTACATGAGTGAGCCAATTTTCGTGTACAAAAGTGCAAAAGATGAGTGAAGTTGTACATTCGCACCGTGCCCCCTCACTGGATTCGACTCAATAGTATAACGAACGCCAACGTGTGGATCATCGATTGAAATCAACGCTACTCTTAAGAAGGCTAACGCGCTGAACCGTTAGCCGAATGAAAATTTTACACTATCCTCGTGTCAGCTCAATCATGCATACGATTATCCATTATTGTTACTAAGGTTTGATCAAAGACGCCAGTTTTTAAGATAAAGCTGAACATTCTGTTCTTTACATGCGTAGGTGTGCTTGTACATATACGAATTCTATCAACACGTTGATTCGGCCAAGGGGTTGCAATCAAGTGACAGGGAAGTATATGGGAAGTGGTTAGGAGTGGCCTCCAACAAATAAGCTCCATTTTAACTTTGGGAGAGACTGGCAGGCTAATACCAATGGGTATCTCTTGTCAAAAACAAAAAAAGCCACATTCCTCTGGTGCCTAGGCGGCAACATTTGGTAAGAGGAGTGGAAAGGAGCTGCTAAAATCTCAGGACTGTCTAAATTTGCAATGATTCTAGTGACGATCTGTTATATCTAGTATGTAATATAAGAATATATGTCTGTAGCGCGTGTAATTCATGAGTATGCGAACGGTTAAAAACAACGTCTTCGGACCAAGCAAGATGCGAACAGTCTGCTTATCAAATTTTGTTTATTTGTTCTTTGAAACATGCAGCAGTAAGAGAATAGGGCATTCGTGCAAATGAGCTTCTTTGTCAACACGAGCTGGGCTGAAGCATCAGTTCCTTTGAATAAGTAGCAACCCGAACCGGATATGAAAGGAATGGAATGATAGCACCGATAGTGATTTTTGCCACTACCTCAACATGGTGCCGTTTAAAGTGAACATAGGATACACACATTTTACGTAGACCGTAAGTGCGCAAGAAACGTCACATCATCTGGAGGTTACGATTCATGGTAAAGATTCAAGTTAGAATAGTCAATAATAGATCAACTAAACATTGAAAGGCGGAAACCTAAATGCTCTGTAGAGGAGCGATAAAAGAAGATACTAAGCACGTAAAGGTGTTAGAAGAAGCTGTAGAGGTTAGGAATAGCAACCGCAATGCCCTGCTGAGATTTTCTGAATCATAAGGGCAAGATGATCGTCCTTCTATCTCTAGACAGAACAATCACTATACCAAAAATGGCAAAGAGGAGGACATCTAGCGAAACAGCTACGCCCACTGACTTTTAAATCATGTTGGAGAAGACGGTAACGTCGTCTCAATATCTGTCACTCAAAAGTTCACTATGATAGTTTATCAGTGTGGAACTGCAAAACACTGTGTTTAGACAGGATTAAATTCGAGTATCTGCGTGACCTGCTATCAGTACTCATCAGCAAGATGGCTCAACTACTTCAATATCTATTATCAGAGGCCAAGATTCCAATCAATGCAAAATCCAGCAGGACGGTGGTAGTGCAGATAGGTGGTGGACTACAAGACATCACCAACTTGACAAAACTGCCTGAAGACTGTCTTCTACAACCTCTTTACTTAAACTGAAAAATTCTTAACAGAATTTATAGAGCACTTGATAGAGAGTCATGCCAGAAAGCAAGGCAAAGCATCAAAATATGAATTCAGCACAACAGATCATATTCACACTCTTATGACTCTCACGAAAGTAGGTGGGACGCATAAGATACTACTCCCTTCCATTTCATTAATTGTATAAGGCTATAAAGGCGTATAAGGCGATTCAGATAAGGTATAAGCGTTCTTAAAAGGATTGATCACAGAACCGTTATTCGATAAACACTGGTTTTCTCTACAATCCGACAACAATTAGAGAACTTCACCACTCCATAGAGTAGAGAGCTTTATGGGAGTGATAAACTGAGATAATATGTAGGTGAATACAAATCGGTTTCATCATCTTCGCTTTGGTGACAACACTATTCTTATAAAATCAGGAATTAACAAGAGGAACACATTTTGTTCAAATTCTCCAACCCGTGTAGAACGAATAAGTTTTATTTGGATCTAAAGAAAAGAATGCTAGAGGGGAAACGAATATGTCTTTGATGCCCCAATCACGTTCCTTAGGACTATTTTCTTCGAACGCTCCACAAAGCACAGACAGATAGTTAAATTGCCGGTCTCCACGACAAAACTTCTCCACATTCCTCATCCATGGCGTCTCTTCGAACCTTTGCGGGTGGTCTTCAAAATAAGTGGAAGGATTACGAAAAACGGCTCTAAAAGGGTGAAATCCGTCGAAACGTCATCCACTGTGAAATAAACATTGTATTAACAAATTCGTTTCTTGTTATCAAGACTAACATGAAAATACTCTCAATGACTGATCAATACCGACATGGACAAAAAGACGGTCTTAGGAACTATAGCTTCCCTTTGTTGCGTTACCTAAGGATCGTTGTTCACCGTCATGGTTTTCGAGCATGCTATTAGGTTGTA